AGGCCTAGGGGCAGGGGGGCTGTTTAGGAAGGCGGGGAATATGAACTCACAAAGCCATGAGAAGCTGAACCGAGTAGAAGCAGGGTTGGGAATGGTAGGGCGGGTTTGAGAGTTGGTTAGTTTGGGAGTTGTTTGAGGGGAGGAGGAACCCAAGGAAACGGGGAATCATCTGCCTTTTCTCCACCCAGTGCCTCACTCAGAGCCTGGCAAATACCCACTCAGTCCTTGGAGGAAGGTAGCTGGGTGGGTGGATTGAGCATCAAAGCTGGGCAGCCCTGGGACAGGCAGCTGCAGGGATCCTGACCGTGCAGCCAATGTTTCCCACTCTCCAGGGATGCCGGTGCGGTCCTAGGGGAGAGAGAATGCCAACATGAACTGGCTGCAGAATAATCTTCTCCGGAGTGAGATGCAAAGGCAGCCTTGGCTGGACGCCAGGCCAGGCCACGCACCACCTGGGCTAATGCAGATTTGCAGGAGGGGTGGTCAGTGATCTGGGAGAATGGGTGCACACACTCTGCCTTCCTGCCTTTCCCTCTTTTCCCACCTCACAAATACAAATGTCCCCCTGCCCCTCTGCCCATGTTTGAGGGTGGTTGGGTCTCGAGAGGCTGGCCCAGGGCAGCACCAGTGGCCACTGCACCCCCCAACTTGAGGAGGGGCCCTTCAGGTCAGGAGGGAACCCCAGCCCCCCACCCTGTGCCCGCCTGAGAAGCATTGAGCTTTGGGGTGGAGCGGACAGCCTGGGAACCGGTCTGCCAACCAGTTTAACCAGGGACTGGTTTCGGCTCCTGAGTTCAAAGAAGCTGGGGTGCACCCCGTCCCGCCCGGCCAACGGAGCAGCGACACTTAACCCTTTCCCGGTTGTGCCTGGGGCAACGTCCAGGGCCAGTCCGTGCTGGAGAGGGTCTGAGCCTCTTCGGGGCATGAAATGGGTGAGGGTGACCTTGGCTACAGCTGGGGGTGCAACCAGGCCCATGAGAATGGGGAAACAGGAGAGAGGCTCCCTTGTTTCTCCTGCTCCAGACCTCCCTTGGGGTTTCCTCTTCTCGTGGAGGCGATCCCTGGAGGACCCTGGCTTCTGGGTGGGTGCAGGGGCACTGGGATTGGATTTCTGGAGTAATGAATATTCATCAGCCCGATCCGGCCTCTGCTTCTGTTTACTTAGCCGGGAGGGGCTGGGTTTCAGGTTCACCTTGACTCCCCGGAGCCGCAGTGGAGCAGGTACCCGCTCCTGCACCTGCTTCTCTTGCACCTGCCGTGCAGCTGCTCCCACCCAGCTCTCCTGGCCTGAGCCTTGCCTGGCGCGGCACCCTGCCTCTCCCAGTCTCCCGCCCGAGCAGCTGCTACGCTCAGCTCCTTCTCTAAGGAAGGTCTCGCCTCCAGCCCGAAGCAGTCAGGATTACAGGTACAGGAAGAGGGAGAGCGGGTGGGGAAACCAAGGCACAGAGCCCGGTCAGGGCACCCGGTTCTGCCTCCGTGGCTGACAAGCCTAACTGGGAAGGGGGGCCCAGGCAGGCCAGCTCCCATCTCTCGCTAGGTGGGCAGGCAGAAGTCAGACTCATCCCACCGGCTCTTGGAGTCAATCCAGGCCTCCAGCAGAGCTCTTTCTGGGAAAGTTTCAGTCCCGAGCAGTTCTCCATTAACGCTTGCTAAGCTGGAGCCTACCCCCCAGCCTGGAGGATATTCCTGGCTATCTGCTAGGGACGTCTCCCTGCTCCTCTCCTGGGTACCCCAGTCTTATCCAGAATGGAGAAGTGCCATCAGGGGCCCTGCGGAGGGATGTGGGCTGGGGGGTTCTGGGTGTTGTCTTAAAGCCCAGAAGCTGACTTGCTTTCTCAACTCCCCTCTACTGCCGCCCCCCACCTCCAGCACAGTCAATGGTTAACTCGTTCCAGCTCAGAAGGGGCCCGGCCCAGTCTGGGCAAGGCCGTTAGAGCAGTTCACAAAACTCAGCCGGGGCAGTGGGGCCTGTCTTGGGCTGGCCACATGCACGCCGTAGGGCTGGCTGGCCTAGGGGAGGGGTGGCAGGCTGTGCTGTGAGGCCCTTTGTGGGCTCGGAAGCTGTGCAAAGAGCAGAGGTGTAGCTAGCTCCCTCAGGGCTGATTTCTATCTTCCCCCAGATTGCAGGGCCCCAGGGCAAGGGCCCAGCCCTCAGCTTGGCCAGCTAAGGGCCCTGTGCAGGCCGCCTGCGTGGCTCACCACATGTCACTAAATGCTGGGTCTGCTTGAAATCCCAAGTACACCTCCTGCCCCCAGCTCCCTCCGGCCTTCTGTGATTCAGCCTGGGCATGCAGTTGTAGCTATATTGCTCTTTCCAACTTTCGATAGCTTTTGATATCACAGCACTTTTTTGATGTAAAGCAAATCAGATTTTTTTTTTTAAAGATTTTATTTATTTATTTGAGAGAGAATGGGAGACAGAAAGCATGAGAGGGGGAGGATCAGAGGGAGAAGCAGACTCCCCGCCAAGCAGGGAGCCCGATGTGGGACTCGATCCCGGGACTCCAGGATCATGACCTGAGCCGAAGGCAGTTGCTTAACCAACTGAGCCACCCAGGCGCCCCCAGCAAATCAGATTTTATACTACCTTGGGCTGGCTCACTACTTAAAAGAATCTTATAGTTTGGTTAGTTTGTAAAACAAAGAATAGTCCTCTAATTTATCTGTTCTGTTCAGACTTCCATATGTCGGTCCTGCTGAAAAGGGGCAGACATCTCTTACTGGGGTTTGTATGTCCTCTCGGACAGAAGGGACAGCAAGAGGCATCTTAGACTAGAGTTCAAGGCCAACAGTTGCCTTCGTGCCGTGGTGGAGGCCCCGGGGCAGGATCCAAAGGCTATTCCCGTTTCTCTGTGGTTTCCTGGTAAGTTCCTGGTGATCTGTCACTTCCTTCATGCCAAGGAGAGTTAAGCCCTGTGGATGCCGATCTGTGGCACCCGCTAAAGGAGGTGTGTTTTAGCTGCAGGGGCAGAAGCACGGTCTCTCAAAGAGGTGGGCAGTCAGATGGTTACTGTCAGCCACGAGCCGGATCCTCCACTCCCTGAGTTCCTCCCATCCAACCCCGGATGGGCGGTGGTGGGGTCGTGGGCCTTGCCCCAGACCAGGCGAGTGGTACCCATGGGCCAAGCAAGTGCCCTCCCCACAACTCCTTCCAGAAACGGAACACCAAGTTCTGTGCAAGGTTGTGCTAAGCCCAGGTGGGGCAAGCTGCCAAAGCAAACCTCTCAGGCTGTCCCCTTCATGCACTCACCTCTCCAGGGTGCCCTGAAAGTATTTCCCCGGCCACTCTCACCCCCTCCTCCGCTTTCTAAGTGGAAGCTGCACAAGATCTCCCCTGGGCTTCTCCCGCTGCTTGAACTCAGCTGGAGGGACAGAGCTAGCAATGTGGGATCTACTTCCCATACAAGAGGTAGGAAGGAATCCATCAGGCATGCGCTCTGGGCATGAGGCTGAGTATGTGGAGGGACAGGGGACAAGAGCAGCAAGGGGCCCACGGAGGCGGGCACTCAACCCATTCCAAGCCTAGGTCAGTATCCTGCTTTCGTTTTCCCCAAATTTGATTTGCTCCCCCTCTAGAAAAAAAAAAAATCCACGCTCATTATGGAATGTCTAGAAATGAGAAATAGTGGGAGAAAACATCCTCTGTTCCTTCTCCATAAAGAAAACCACTATTCATCATTTGTCGTATTTCTTTCTGGTCTTTTTAGAAAATGTAGTTAAGACCACTGGTTTTTAAAAGGAGGTGATCTATTTGCCTGTGCTCAGACCGCCTGACCATCTAGCTTTCTGGGCTACTGCCCCCTCCCCAGGACCCTTCCCAGCCACATGCAGGGTCCTGAGAACCAGGACCTCTCCAGGACCAGAGATGCCTCGATTTCTCACCCCTCTGCCTGCCCTTTTGCTGCTCGGAACTCCTCCAGTCTGCTGTCTCCTTCCATTTTACATGCCCCACCTGCCAACGATGTCCCAGCAGACTCATCTCCCAGAACTCCCACTAGCTCAGACAACACCTCTGTGGAAATGAGTAAAAGATGAGGCCACCTCCATGTGGGGCCGTATCACCGCAGGGCACATCACTTGTCAGTGGAGAAGCCTGGATGTCAGCCCCCAAGCCCCACCTCTGTTGGGTTCCTTGTGGAGAGTCTGGCCTGTGATAACCGTATCTCATGTGGACCTTGTGACCCCACCAAACCTCCCTGCAAACTCCTGTCCTCATGGAAGCTAGAGGGGAAAGTAGCCATCCCTCAGTAATTATCACCGTTATCACGTATTACTGTGCAGAGCGTGCCTCCCTCCGAGGGCTGGGATTAACATTAGAGCTAAATGTTAGCGCGGGAAGGGACAGGTGAGGACACTGAGGTCCAGAGAAGTCCCTTGCTAGAGGTCACGAGGCTGGTACAGTCCTCAGGACTTCCCCTGCCTGCCCTGAGGCTCCTCCCACTTAGAAAAAAACCACAACAGCTCCTTCACCCTGGCTGGCCCCCACTGGGAAGTCCAAATTACTCTCCAAATCATAAATCCTCTTTATTTTGTAATGAATTCCAGGCAAAATGCACAGGGTGTTTCTGTCCATCCGATGCCAATCATTCCCCAAACCCCCCTCTTCTCCTATTGTAGCGCTTATCTGAACCCCGGGTTCATTTGGTTCCCACCTTCAATCCTTTCAGGCCTGGACTCTTTTTTTTTTTTTTTTTAAGATTTTATTTTACTTATTTGACACAGAGAGAGAACGCGAGAGAGGGAACACAGCAGGGGGAGTGAGGGAGAGGGAGAAGCAGGCTTCCCGTGGAGCAGGGAGCCCGATGCGGGACTCGATCCCAGGACCCTGGATCATGACCTGAGCCGAAGGCAGACGCTTAACAACCGAGCCACCCAGGCGCCCCTCAGGCCTGGACTCTTACAATAGCCTATGATTAGGAGTTTAGAGAGGGCTGCTCCAGGGCACCCCCCTTCTCTCCACTGACCCCTTTCACTGTCCCACCCTGCTCCTGCAGAAAGCACCCCCCTCGGCTCCAGGGACCACCATGACCGAGGCTGGCTGGTGGAAGCTGACCTTCCTCCGGAAAAAGAAATCAGCTCCCAAGGTGCTGTATGAGATCCCCGACACCTATGCTCAAACCGAGGGCAGCGCCGAGGCCCCGAGGCCCGAGGGCGGGGCCCCCAACGGCAACTTTAACACCCGCCTGGAGAAGATTGTGGACAAGAACACAAAAGGCAAGCACGTCAAAGTCTCCAATTCGGGCCGCTTCAAGGAGAAGAAGAAAGTCCGGGCCACGTTGGCAGAGAACCCCAACCTCTTTGACGACAGGGAGGGCAAAGGACAGTGAGGGGGGCCAAGGAGGACGCTGACACCTCCCTACTCCTGCCATCAGCCGGATCTGAGACAGGAGCTTGCCACGCCGGCCTCCTTGGCCACAGCTGACGCTGTGGGGGCAGTTGATGCCTGCTGGCAGGAAATGGCTGGTTCTAGGTTTGTATTTATGTGCCCCAGCTTTCTGGAAGGTCTGGGTTCTCCCAGCGTCCCCCCACGTCCCCCAGCACGTACAAAGGCACTCCAGTCCAAGGATGAAAAGTCCCACCCAGGAAGGACAGCCCTCCTCAAAGTCGCGGCGCCGGCAGGGAGGTGGGCATGGCGAGGGACGGAGAGAGGGGGCGGACAGACTTCGCCTCCTCCTGGGGCACAGGGTCAAGGGTGAGTTTCGATTGCTGCTTCCACAACTGTTCCCTGGACCAATTCTGAACGTGACTTTTCCTGAAGCCACATGATGGGGTGGTTTCCTGGAGCTGGAGGAGGCGGAGACCCTGAACTTGAGCTCACCTCCTACCACAAGAGGGAAACTTCCTGGAACTTTGCCCCCAGGTGTGTAGGGAGAGGAGGTCACTGGCACTCTGGGGGGGAGGGGTGCTGCTGCAGAAATCCAGGTGAGGGACCCCGTGGGTTCCTGCACACCTCCTCAAAGGGACACTGCACTGGCTCATGGGTCCAAAATCGGGGAGCAGGTAGGGAAGCTGTGGTAGGACCTAAAAGCAGTCAGCTCTCTTCTCCCCTCCTACTGGTATTTAAGAAGGACAAGCCCCAGAGATGAGTCCTGGAGCTTTGAATTTTGTTTAAAAAAATAATAATTGTAGGTTTCTCTCTTTGTAATAAACAATGCTGCAAAAGCAGAGAACCTACTTATGCTTTTTGTCTTACATTTCCTGAGGACTGTTTCTCATGCCTTTATTCCCTGCCTGTAAGTGAAGTGCTCAGGGTTCCTTTCAAGCGTCAGGAAGGGTCCCCAGGGGGTGCCTGGCTGGCTCAGTCGGTAGAGCACGTGACTCTTGATCCGGGGGTTGTAAGTTCAAGCCCCACATTGGGTCTATAGATTATTAAAAATAAGATCTTTTTTATTAAAAAAGAAAGGGCGTTGTCAGTATAAAAATACGCAAAGGAAGAGGCTAGTTTCAGCTCAGTGGTCAACAGAGAGACCATCAGGGGCTCTAGAGAGTGGAGGAGACCTTTGGTGACTGACCCCACAGTTGCAGGGGTTTGGTTTAGGATCAGGACTCAAATTCTCATCCCACTGCTTAGTAGCTGGGTGATTTGGGGAATACTTTTTTTTTTTTTTTTAGAGAGAGATTGAGAGCATGAGAGGGAAGGGGTCAGAGGGAGAAGCATGCTCCCTGCTGAGCAGGGAATCCTGATGCAGGACTCGATCCCGAACTCCGGGATCATGACCTGAGCCAAAGGCAGTCGCCTAACTAACTGAGCCACCCAAGCGCCCTGGGGAATACTTTTTTTAAAAAACGTTCTCTGAACTTCCAGTTCCTCTTCTGTAATAATATGTATTTCGTGGGAATGGTCAGTATTAAGTGCCCCATAAGCAATCCTATAGTAGGTGCTCAGTTAATATTGGTTTCCTCCCCCTTCCTTTATTAAGGAACTCCACCATAGCCCACAGCTTCTGGTTAAGGAAGAGGAAAGAGTGTGCTCTCTGTGCTGTTAGATCCAGATCTTTCTCAAGCCCCAGGAGCTGGGAGCTAGAAAAAAATTGGGACACATCTCTGGAGCTCTTGGAGGGAACAGGGAGAAACCAAGGTGGCCACTAAGCAATGTGATCCTGCAGCTTCCAGGTCAGCTCCTTGCAGGCTGTCGGGCCACCCCACCCCAGGGAGTGTTGCTCAGGAAATTTATTACCAAAACAAACAGACCCGTACAAGGGGACCTTTGTTGGGTGGCTTCACCCAGGCCAGGGAGAGCTCTGAGGATGAGTGAGGGACACCAGGAGCTGGAGGGAGGGAAGGCAGGCTGGTTCAAGCATGCCCAAGGCCTCTTCCCCTATCCCTCCCACCATATAGAACTTTCTAGGGTCCGTCTGATTACCCAATCCATAAAATGTCCCATGGAGGAGCTGCCTTCCCCCCTACTCTAGCCCTGTCCACTGTGAATAGCCAGGGTTTGCAGAGAGCTTACAATGGACCAGGCCCTGTGGCAAGTACTCCATGAGGTTCCTTGGTCAGTCCCCTCATCACCTGAGACAGGTGCTGTCATTATCCCCAATTTCCAGCTGAGTTGAGGCTGGGAAGTGAAGCCACCTGCTCGCCACAGTGGAGCTGGGACTGAAGCCAGAGCTGGCCTATGCAACGACTGCTGCCCACAGCCCCCTCCACGGTTGATTCCGCCTCTGCTCGGGGGGATGGGAAACTGAGGCTCAGAACAAAGAATGCAGTCCAGTCACCTTCTGCAGAAGGGGAGGTAGGGTGGCAGAGGGTAATGCCTGGGGCTCGGAATCCTGATTCTGGCACCAATGGGGGAAAGCTAACCAGCTCGGAGGCTGAGTGTCCTCTGAGACACCAGACCAGAGGGGCCTGCCACTTCAGCCCATCCTGAGGTTCCTTGACGGAGGTGGTGGCTGGGAATGAGGCTGGGCCTGGGCCACCAAGCCCAGCTTCTACCCAATACTGGCACCACACGGCCACCATTACCCCTCTTAGGTGAGAGGGTCTACGGCCCCTCTGCCTGGTGCGTGAGATCCTGCTCCAGCCTTTAAGTGATGTCCGCAGGAATCTTCCAGGGAAACCCCCACATATATCCCTAAGCTGGGAGGCAGGGGGTGGGTGTGTGCTAAAAGCCAAAGGGCAATCTGGCTGGCCAGGGAGTCAGAGGGAGGCAGCTGCAAGCTTTCATGAGGCCAGAGGAGGAGGAACCGAGAGTGCAAATATGGGCAGGAGCTGTGAGAGGCTACGGGTTATCGGCCACAGTTTCACTGGGACACGACCCAACAGGGGGATGGGGGAGGCAGGAGGGGCCGGCTCCAACTGGCCTGCACTGCCCAGGAGGAGCCAACCCTGGGCAGCGGGCTCCCCCTGCTGGCCGCCCTACCTCTAGGAAGAGGAGGAGTGAGGTGGGGGGGGCCCTTAAACCCCCCAACTTCCCTCCTTCCTGGGCTGGTGGGGGATGGGAGGATGCGACCAGGCCAGGTTGAACATTAATGTCACACACGGCTGACGAAGTTTTATTACAGACTTGGCACAGTGATTGTCAAAGAACAGGAAAGGGACAGCTGAAAGCAGGCTCAGAGCTAGGGAGGGGGTGGGGGATACAGAGCTCCTAGTAACGGGACAAGGTACAGAAGGGCACCCCAGCACCCTCTCCTTCAGTGGCCACAGGGTTAGCATTGTGCCTTCCTGCACTTGGGTTTACGAGGGCGATCAACACCGAGAGGGCCTCCCTTGGAGGAACCACTTAATGGCAGACGCTGAAGCAGAGCACACACCCACACAGTGGAATGAAACCGTGTACAGACTTGGCAAGTTCCATGCCAACACGTACAAATAATAGTTCTTGGATTCTGGCTTAGTCACAGCAAACATTTACCCAGCCTGGCCTGTAGGCCATTCATTTAAGTTGTCCTTGTCACCAGACTTGTGCTCAAGGAGTGTGCAAATACAGTTCAGCCCAGCCTTGATGAAGAATCCAGTGGTGAGGGTGGGAGGTCGTTTGTTTGTGGAAGTTGGAGACAATGCATCCGGTCACTGGCGGGGGGGGGGGGGGGCGCTTATTAAATGCAGAATGGGATTCATGGGTCTGAGGTGGGCTCCCAAGTGGTGTTGCTGCTGGTCTGTGGACCACACCGAGTAGATCTAAACCCGGGGTCTCAACTTTTGGCTGCACAGAATTCCCTGGGGAGCTCTTAAGTTTCCCAAAGTTCAGACGTCACTCAGACCAGTGAAATCACATGTGATTAAAGCTCCCTGGGTAAGTCCAGGATGGATGAAAACCTGTGTCTCGGAGTCATCATCCATAGAGGTGGGGAGTTGGTGAAGGGGATGCATGAGTAGTCAGAAAGGTATCATCTCGGGCGCCTGGGTGGCTCAGTTGGTTAAGCAACTGCCTTCGGCTCAGGTCATGATCCTGGAGTCCCGGGATCAAGTCCCGCATCGGGCTCCCTGCTCGGCAGGAAGTCTGCTTCTCCCTCTGACCCGTCCCCTTCTCATGCTCTCTCTATCTCATTCTCTCTCTCAACTAAATAAACAAAATCTTAAAAAAAAAAAAAAGGTATCATCTCTGTAACAATTTTATACCTGGAAAATGAAATATACATATGTATGTGTATATACGCACATACGTAGCTCTCAGAAACAAATATGTAAAGTAAAGCTTCATTGAAATCTGCCTGGCTTGTAGGTACCAGCACATGAATCCCTTCTATAAAACTCCTGACTACCAGGGATCGAATACTTCTGGAGACACTTGCTACCTAACAGTCCACTCCCCCTTAGGCAGCCCTGGTTGTCTGAAGTCTCTCCCCGAACTGAGAGAGGAAAATCTATGTCCATGCAACTCCCACCTCTGGGTTCTTTGGAGCTCCAGAGAATACATTTCATCTCTTTTCCACGTTGTTGTGCTTCAGATAACGGGAGGCAGTTATCAGTGGGGTACAGGGCTATAAAAATACCCTAGTAGTAAGTAAGTTAATGAGGTTTCCTTTAGTTGCAAGCAACAGAAAGTGATTCTGGCTAGTTCAAGCCAAAAACTTCCTTTAAAAAACAAACACCAAAACAAAACCAGGGATAATGGGTGTTTTGAGGCAGGAGGAGGAGTTACACAGCCCAGACATGGGAAGGCGGGATCCAAGGTCACTCTGGGAGTTACAGGAACAGCACCTGGAGGCTTGCTTCTTGGCTGCCATCACCACTGTAGGACTTAGCTACAATGCCTCTCATGCTCTGGGTCTCTCCATTTCAGATTTCAAATTGTTGACAAGAAAAGGACGGATCAGCCAGATTGGCTCAGGTGGTTATGCTGGAACCAGTCAGCTTCAGGCAGTATGACTCAATCATACCCTAGTGGACAGGGCCGCGGGGGGGCCCACCCAGGGTCTCTAGAAAAGGGAATCACGCCAGCTACTACCTCTAGAGGGAGCTATTCCAATAAATCATATTCAAGGTCAAGAAAATAATTACAGGATTTTTTTTCCCCCCATTTGTGATTCTCTACGCCACTGTTTATGCTCCACTAGACTACCTACTTGAGAGCCAACCGAAAATACAGAATTCGGAGCTTGAACTCTGAAGAGCCTTAAAAATAAGGGGTGGGGAGGGAAATGGGCTGAGTTTAGAAGGGTCCCACTCGCCATCCCACACCCTCTCTTAGCACCCGGCCCCAGCTCCAGTTGGTGCCAGCAGATTGGAAGTCAGGGTGCAAGTCTCTCATAGAGCCAGTCTTCCTCCCCACGGTGGGTCATGGATCCCAGAGGGGAGTCTTCTGTTGGCAGGCCCCGCCGAAAGATGATCCGGTCATGCAGACGATTGGTTTGGCCTTGCCAGAACTCTACCACTTGCGGGTACAAGATGTAGCCACCCCTTCAAGGAGAGGCAGTGGGTTTGGTACTCTGTGCATTTTTCCAGCAGGTCACCCCCCGGTCCCCACCCCAGCCCATCTCAGGGCCCCTTGAAGGAAGCTGCTGGGATGAATCCAAAGAGGATTCCTAGTGGGGGGTGAGGGGAGTAGATCTGTAATTCTGCAGGTAAGAGTGGTTTTGAGTAAACATGAGGGTTCTGGGGCCCCTGTCTGGACGACCACCAGATATCACTCACCAGTACTTTGGCTTTGGCACCTCTTGTTCTCGGTAGAGCTGCTCCAGTTCCTCATTTTTCTTTCTCAGATACTGTCCAGGGGAAGGAAATAGAGGAAGGCCCAGACCGGGTCAGTGATCACTTAATAACCATTTACTAAGCATGTGCTGTGTGCCAGGCACTGGGGACACAGGTGAGCAAGGGAGGCTGGCCTCTCTCCTCTGGGAGCATAGTCCAACCAGAGGGTCAGACAAAGGAAGCCCATTTCCCCCTCTCCCCCAGGGAGACCATCCTTTCATTCTGCTGGAGAGACAGGGCCCTGGCACCCCCAGGGGACAGCTGTTGGGGGATGAGCTAAGGCCCCTGCCACCCAGAGAACTAAGGAGGAGCCCAACTCACCTCCCGATTAGGGATCACAGAACTCTGGCGACTGACCACAGCCCCAATCTGGCTGCTCTTGGGGCGGGAGTGAAAGTAGCACTCAGCCTCCTCTTCAGGCAGCTTCTTCACGGAGCCCTCCACGCGCACCTGCTCAAGGACGGCCCTGGCTAGATGGCATTCAATGCCATCTGCCCTCTCCACCAACACAGGCCCCCTTCCTCTCTTTCTTCCCTTCTCCACTGCCCCACCACTGCTGGCTCCAACTAGACCAGCTCATTAAGAGCTATTTGAGAGGCAGGCTGTTTGCCCAGCCTGGGGCCCTCCACTGGGCGCATCCATAACGAGGCCCAGGCCATCCTGGGAATGCTCACTCACCTGACGGTTGAGGGGCTCCCAGTAGAAGACAAGGGAAGCAAAGGGATTGGAGTCCTGGAAATGAAAGAGAATTCACAGTCGGCCATCCGAACAGCAGGGAGAACACCTCCACCATGCAGAAAGGAGGCAGGAAGTTTGCAGTATGCAGGCCTGCAGGGGATGCATTCACTGTCACATCTCATTTAAACCCTCAAAGGTATGCCTACTTTTACAGGGGTGGAGACAGACTCCGAGAGGTTAAGGAACCTGCCCAAGTTCACACAGGAAGTGCTAGAGCCGTGCTGAAAACCTAAGCCAGATGGACACCAAAGTGAGGCTTGCCATTTCTCTCATCCATAGATTTGCAAGTCCTCAGAAATGCATCTGCGGCCGGCATGGACTCGGGGAGTCCTTTGGATTCATGAATCGAATGTACACTAAGTATCAACTCTGGGCTTGACACCATGAGAGGTGCCGGGGGGACAAGAGGGGTACACCGGATGCAGCCTCTGCCTCCTCAGAGCTTACTGGGTGTTTAGCAGAGGAGACAAATATCCATCACATAAGCACACAAACAAATGCACACTTATAAACTGAAAAAAAGGCAGAAAGTAAAGTTACGAGTTACCACGAAGGTGAACAGCTGATGTGGCATGGGGATCGAGGACTTTCCCAAGGAGGCAACACGGGGGCTGAGGGCCAAAGGGACAGGAGCTACTTAGGGAAGCAGATGACGGAGGCGGTGTGGTCAGAGAGAGCACTCATTCACGGCAAAGAGAAGGGCAAGTGCCAAGGCCCACAGGCAGGACGGTGCCTGAGCACAGCCAGCAAGTGGGTTGGGGCAGGGGTGGCACCAGAGGGTGATGAAGGAAGCCAGGGCTGGCCCCTGCAGGCCCCTTACCAGCTCTTTTCCCTTCCGACTCTCGAAGTTAGTGAAGAAGCGGAAGCCGTCCTTGCCAAAGCCCTTCAGCAGCACCATGCGGGCAGAGGGTTTTCCGTCTCTGGGGCAAAGACCAGAGCGTGTGGTCAGAACCCACATCACTGTCCTTGCTACCACCTCTCTCCCCAGGTGCTCCCCTGAGCTCCCCACACCTGTGCCCCCTTATTCTGCACTGTCTGGCTACCCATCCCCCCCACCCCCCACCCCCCACCCTGGGGATTTGTCCTAGAGGTGCATGTATGACATTGCTGCCTGGGACCTGTTATGGACTGAACTGTGTCTCCCTAAAATTCTAGGTTGAAGCCCTAACCCTCAATGTGATTGTATTTGGAGACAGAGCTTTTAGGGAGGTAATTAAGATTAAATAAGGTCATAAAGGTGAGACTCTAATCCAATAGGCCTGGTGTCCAGAAAAGATATCTATGTCTCTCTCTCTCCTTCTCCTCCCCCCCACCCCCACCCCCCATCCCACCCCCCGCTCTCAGCAGGCATGATGGAAAGGCCATGTGAGGACACAGCAAAAAGGTGGCCACCTACAAGCTAGAAAGAGAGGCCTCACTAGGAACCGATTCTGACAGCACCTTATCTTGGACTTCTAGCTTTCAGAACTGTGAGCAACTAAATCTCTGTTGGTTACACCTACCAGTCTGTGGTATTTTATTTTGGCAGTCCTAGCAGGCTAACAAGGCTCTCAGGGTGGTGACCAACAATAACGCAATCAGCCAACGCTTAGTGATCATAGAAAGGGTAGTTACATTAGGACCTCTGCTCAGAGCTCTGAGGGGTATCCAGGGGCACAGTACCAGAGCCCTGCCTTCAAGGCCTGACACTTTTTTTTTTAAAGATTTTATTTAGGGGCGCCTGGGTGGCTCAGTCCGTTAAGCGTCTGCCTTCGGTTCAGGTCATGATCCCAGGGTCCTGGGATCGAGCCCCGCATCGGGCTCCTTGCTCAGGGGGGAGGCTGCTTCCCCTCTCCCCCCTACCCCCACTCGTGCTCTCTCTAGCTCTCTCTCTCTCTCAAATAAATTCCTTTTTTTTTTTTTTTTAAAGATTTTATTTATTTATTTGACACAGAGAGACACAGTGAGAGAGGGAACACAAGCAGGGGGAGTGGGAGAGGGAGAAGCAGGCTTCCTGCAGAGCAGGGAGCCCGATGCGGGGCTCGATCCCAGGACCCCGGGATCATGACCTGAGCCAAAGGCAGATGCTTAACGACTGAGCCACCCAGGCGCCCCTAAATAAAATCTTCTATAAAAAAGATTTTATTTATTTATTTGAGAGAGAGCGCACGTGTGCTTGCAAGCTGGGGGGGGGCAGTGGGAGGAGCAGAGGGAAAGGGAGAAGCAGACTCCCCACTGAGCAGGGAGCCCGAGGCGGGGCTCAATCCTAAGAACCTGAGATCATGACCTGAGCCGAAACCAAGAGTCAGACGCTTAACCATCTAAGCCACCCAGGCGCCCAAGGCCTTACACTTTAATGAGGGGGGGCGACAAGAGTTGAATAACAGCCTACTAGAAGAGGTGTCTCAGGGGTATATGATTGTCAAATAAATAATACAGCCGAGCACTGTGCTAGATTTCAGGAGAGGGAGAGAGAGCTTTATGGAGAGGTTCCAGGAGATGTAGCTCTTAAAGGACAGATGGGAATTGGGTAGATGGGGAGATAAGGGAGACAAGGGTTCTGGGGGTGAATGCATTAGGGGCAGAGATGAATGAGGCACTACATTTTATTACTGAAATGGAATTAAGTGAAGTATGATCTTTGGTTTACAGATAAGGACACCGAGGCCCAGAGAGGACAAGTAACTTGTCTGAGGCCACACAGCATGTTAGTAACACAGCTATAACCATAAATTTGCATTCCACCAAGTTGAGAGCTTCGTAAGTTTCCTACTTCACCTGTACCCACCCACAGACGGGCCCACGGCTATGCCCACCTGGTGCAGGTAGCCAGACACATGGCATTGGCCTCCCCTATGTCAGGACACTGGACAGCCTCTTCAAACCAGGCAGCAAACTGCTTCATGGGGTCCAGGGAGGTCAGCTGAGTCTCCTCAAATGCCTGGGAAAGGAGAGTTTTATTTAATAAACACATATAATTCTTACTGTGTATGTGGTACTACCCAGGAAGTAGATTCTGCTAGCTCTATTTTACGGGTGAGGACAGAGGCATAAAAACGTGGCGTAACTCGCCAGGTTCCACAGTAGTGATGGATGAATCAAGAGTTTCATGTCATGAGTGTCAAACCTATCACTTGGGGAGCATTAAAAAAAAAAAAAAAGCCATATTCCTGGGCTCCACCCCCACAAATTCTCAGTAGGTCTGAGGTTCAGTGAAAAACTGCATGTTTATTTAACAAGTATTTCTGGAAATGCTCACACACAACTAGATTTAGAAACTGCAACTCCGGCCTCAATTCCAAAAAAAGTTCTGTTGGTTTCTCCTCTGAGGAGGGAAAAGGAAAAGAACTTCTCCAAAAGGTAAGGGAAAGGACTGACAGCAGTGAGATCTAGGAGCTTTCTCCTCCCCTCCCTCCGTGAGTCAGTACCCTTCCCCCATGTGTTACTTATCAAATATTTAGAAGCTGATTATCACTGTTCCAAGCACTTTGCAAATACCAAAGTCCACACCATCCCTGCGAGTTAGGTACTCACTTCCCAGGTGAGGAAACTGAGGCCCAGAGAGGTTGTTATTGACCCAAGTGATGCACCCCGTGAGTGGCAGGATCCCACCCCGGGCCGCCTGCAGAGCTCGCGCTCTCACCCACTGCAACCCGCTGCCTGTCTTCATCCTTGTTTCCCCAGAGCCCTTCCTCCCTCCATTGGTTGTCTTGGCACCCCCTTCTCCTACGGGGTGACCCCAAACCCACCCCATGGGGTTCCTCCCCTCGCGGATGACTCGGGGACCCCTCCCAGCGGGAGGCCCTGCCCCGGTGGCCTCACCTCTCGGTCCCCGCGGTAACTCTTGCGCATCGGGCCCAGGTCCATCACGCCACCGCCACCGCACAGGTGGTGGAGGTAGCGGGGCCACTCGGCAGGTCGCCCGAACGTCACGGTGACGCCTCGCAGCCCGCACGTCATGAGGCCGCCAGCCACGTGACCCGGCGGCGCCCAGCGCTGGGTTCCGTTGGGTTCGGAACCAATTTCTCAGCCCGGGAGTTTACCCGGGGGAAGGAAGAATTCGCCCGTCGCCAGGCCCCGCTAACAGGTCCTAAGTCTTCGGAGCCAATGGGAGCTCAGGGTCGGAGGAGGGAGACAGGCGCGGAGAGGCCATTGGTTGGAGCTGTCCGGCAGCGAGGCCAATTAGAGCGAGAACAGAGGAACCCAGCGGCCAATGGGCGGCGCCTCCGGGGGCGGGAGCAGAGAGACAAGGAAATGCTGTCACCGCCGTTAACACGCACGTGGAGGTTTGTTAAAGGTATAGGGACTGCAGCCGCCCAGGCGGGGGGCGGGGAATGAGTCGCTGGGGGCTTGAGGGGAGTGGTCAATGTTAAGTGGCTGGCCCCTAGCAGGTGCCTGGAGGCGAGCCTAGTGCAGGAAGTACCCCCTAGGGGGGAAGCCTGTGGGCTGGGAAAGGACAAATGGAAAACGGAATTAGGGGCCAGACTCTGAGGCAAGGTGATGGGGAGACACAGAAGGAGGGGCAGTCCGTTTGGGGGACGAAATTGGGGCTGGAGAGTGGGAGAGGTTGAAGTGAGTTGTGGATCACACAGGATAGGTGCTGTGTATTGTGCGTGAGTGTATGGGCGGGGGTTCTCTGGAGTTGGGGGAGTGGGGGGAGATGCAGCGGGACCAGGAAGAGACTGTGGGGTGGGAATGAAGCCTGCTGAATGGAAAGGGGAAAGGGAAATTTGGGATCAAGCCATCCCAGACCAGAGCCATCTTCCTTGTGCAGCTCTGAACTCCTCTCTGCCTCATTTCTTTAACCCCCGGGTCAGAGCATGCTGCTCCCTTTGCCCATGGTTTCTCCTTTCCTGGTGCAGCGGAGTTCACACTAGCCAGTGTTCTGGTAGATGGAAAGGTTGCCACTGCCCCACCTCTCCCGGGCCTCCCTCATCTTAGCCGGGTTTCCACCTTCTTCACATTTTGATCTTCCTAGTTAGCTGGAGTCTGGTTCCTAGGTAATGCCAGCCATAGCTGAGGGCACAGGGGAGCAGGTGGCTGTGCAAAGCCGCTTGCAGGCTGTGGACAAAGGGCTGAGACGTGGAAAACCTACCAGTGCCCATTCCGGCTTTGGCCTGGCTGGGGCAGCCTTGGGTCAAGTCCTCTCTGTAGTCCTGGTTTCCACCAACATCAGGAAGGGGAGCTGCAAGAGCCATCTAGGCAGGCACCCCAGGACTGTGCCAGGTAAGGGGAACTTCCTGTCCTACCCAGGTCTCTGCATTACCAGGTGTTAAGCTTCATAAAGCCCTGCATTAGATACCTATCATCTTTTATTATATGGATGTAGCTTGAGCCAAATGGAATCTGGAAGACCAATTTGCTGCAATGAAATAATACATGTCTCAAGGCTTAATGATGTTGATCTATGGATTCTCCACTGGTTGGAATTTTTTTGCTGCATCGTTTTCCTCCATCAACATGACTGAGAGAGTTGACTGGACTTACTGTCTTGTTGAGGTTGTCTTTTCACATGTGAACATTGCTGTTCTCGGCTCCTCCCAAGCCCCTGCACTTGGACCTGTGTAAGCGTAATTAGTGCCCTTCAACACAGATGATTTGTTCATGGGGCCACACTCTTAGCACTCCTGGGCTATGCTACCCTGGACCTGGGACGCTAGGGCACCAAAACTAGGATCATTTGAATAGTTTGCTTAAAAGCCAAGAGATCAGTTAGATCTTTATTCATTCCGTAGACATTTGTTAAAGACTTTTTTAAAAAAGATTTTATCTATTTATTTGTCAGAGAGCACAAACAGCGGCAGGCAGAGGGAGAAGCAGGCTCCGCACTGAGCAGAGAGCCCGACGTGGGGCTCCATCCCTGGGATCATGACCTGAGCTGAAGGCAGATGCTTAACTGACTGAGCCACCCAGGCGCCCTTGTTAAAGACTTCTTTTTTTACCAGGCACTGAGCTAGGTCTGAGAATACTAAGATGAAGAAGGTGACATGCTTCCTGCCCACAAGGGGTTTGTAGTCTACAGGGGAAGCAAGTCTGAAGGCTGAAGGGTTACAGATACTTTATTTTTATTTTTATTTTTTTAAAAGATTTTATTTATTTATTTGACAGAGAGACACAGCGGGAGAGGGAACACAAGAAGGGGGAGTGGGAGAGGGAGAAGCAGGCTCCCCGCAGAGCAGGGAGCCCAATGTGGGACTCGATCCCAGGACCCCGGGATCATGACCTGAGCCGAAGGCAGTCGTTTAACCAACTGAGCCACCTAGGCGCCCTACAGGTACTTTAACAGATACTTCTATTAGGAAAAGGGGAGCAGAAATGAAAAAGTGGTCTCCAGGGGTCAGACGGTCAGATAGCCTTCGGAAAGGGAGGAGACATTTGATTTGTCTTATTGAGTGTTTGCCAGATGGACAATGGAACGGGCATGCCCAGAAGAGGGAACAATGTGGGTAAAGGCGCGGTGTGTTAGGGAAATGTGGAACAAACAGCTTCGTTCTCCTAGAGCAAGATGGCGAGGTGGGCAGCAGGCCAGCCTAATAGGGCTGATGATCGGACAGGTGGAAAGGGCCAGGCTTTTAGACAATGATTCTGGTTGGGTTTTTTTTTTTTTTTTTTTTTTTAATCCTTCTTGCTATTGTTGAACCAGAGTATCTAATTTCTGTTTTTTTAAGACCAGATGGAGAGAAAAAGTACTAGATTCCGACAGCCTCTCCCATCCTCTGCGATTAGCAAGGAAGTTTGCAATTTGTTGCCTTTTTAGATTTTTCCCTTCTGCCTTGAAAATAATAAGTAGGCTTGTGTTGTGCTTTTCTGCCTAGTGGGATTTGGTGTCTGGATCACAAAGCAGCCCCACAGCGCAAACGAGAGAGGGGCCGGCCTTGCTGCTATCTCTGAAGCCCCCCAGGGGTTTTGTCTGCGTGGGAGAAAGGAATATTTTATTGTTACTGCTTTTTCCTAAACACTTTGCCACCCTCCTCCCTTCCCTGACTTTGTAAAATTATTAATCTTTTCTCCAGAGAGTCTTAAGTGAATAGAAAATGTGTGGTAATGCTTCATCGTGCAGAAGAGGTACCCTGGTTTCTCATTATGAAACAAAAGGGCTGTGTGTGAGGTTGGGCACTGGGCCTTGCCTGTCTTCTTCCCATGTTTTTGCCTTTATGTTCTTAAGTCACCTTTTCGTCTAATTTGTATTTCACTTGGATCTTAGTGACTGGGGACCTGGCTCTGGTGACAGAGTGGCTGGTGGGCTAGGGAGGGTGAGGCAGGGGCAGGGAGACGTCGAGAGACACGGCAGAAGCTGGGAGCCGGGAGCCTGGTGCCGGAGTCTGGGATGGGGCCGGAGGCAAATCCACTCACCGGGATAAGCTGAGACATCACGGGTGGTGCTGTTGAAGTGGGGGCATGTTGGAGGAGGAGGTTTGGGGGAAAGAGGAAGCCGATCAGACCTGTTGAGTGTGAGGGTTTATGGGACATGCATGTTTGGCCAGGTTTGATCATCAGGTCTGGAGCTTAGGGGAGAGGTCTAGGCTGATGAGACTGGGCTGGGCATCATGAGCCCCCGAGGTGGCACCTGAAGCCATGGGGGAGGATGAGAATGTCCAAGAAGAGGGCCTGGGAGGATTAAGGAGGATGGGCGGGGGAGGGGAGAGGCCCAGGAAGGTGGTAATGATGCCAGTGAAATGCAGCCTTCGAGGAGGCCAGCGGCAGGCAGGCCAGAGAGGTGTGCTAGGGGCCCGAAGCTCAGGCACTCCTGAGCCCAGCTTTGGGGTGCACTCAGGACTCACAGAAGGGGGGGTACCTGGTGCTCTGCCAGCAGCTACCTGAGCCCTGAGTACTATGGTTGTTGGGGGGCCCAGATGGGAGCTGGGTCCTCAGAGGCTTGTAGTGGGATCTGGAGGAGGCTGACCCTTCCCCGAGGGGCCTGCCTGTGGTTGTGGGGTTAGCCCCTCTCACGACCCTTGTGTGGGCCCACAGATCTCTTCCCAAATGCATCCTTTCATTTTTTGCCCCAGCCCTCGTTAGAAGTGCCTTTCTGGGAGGGACCACATCCCTTACTGTCTCCGGCTCCTTCTCAAAATCCCGGCCAGGAAACGCTCTTCTGTAATGTTTATGCATAAACTGCCTTCGTTAAGCTTCTCTGTACCTGGGTGCCAGGCTTGGTGAGTGGGCCTCGGGGCCTGGTGGGGGCCGGGCTGAGTGTTTCCGTGGGCTGGAGGGATGTTAGGCTTTCCAAGGCTGAGAGGGGTATTAGGGCATCAGTCTCAGTCTCAGCCCTGGCTGCCTTGGTAATTGGGGCCACAGGCAGAGGGAGGGGGCCTGATGGGGGGTTCCCAGGCAGAACCCAAGGAATATGACCTGGCGGCTTCTTAGTTTCCTTTGAGAAATCCTGGTCAGTCCTGGCTTTTGGCCTGACCCCTGGTCAATTCTCATTTCCTCTCACCCAGGCCTATGATGAGCCAGTGTTTGACTCTCCTCCTCAAGCCCCGATTCTCTGCCCTATGCCACCGTGGTTTGCTTTCTTTTCAGCCACCCCTGTTCTGTAATCCATCTTCCCAGGCTCACTTCCTGTCCCTTCCTCGCCCTCTTCCTCTTGGAAACCCAGCTGCCACCTGTCCCAACATGACTGCAGTTCCTTTAGTGACTTTATCCTAGCCCCAAAGACCTTGGTCAGGTCACAAGAGGTCTCCCAAGGCAGTGAGTCCCCGGGTGAGGGTCCCTGGAATCCACCACCATGTAGACCTCAGCCACGTTCCGTCAGCCACAAGCCCCTGATGGGGTCCAGGGACCTGAGAGGCTGCGGGTGGGTCTTGGTCAGACTCAAGTGTGGGGCCTCAAAGGGCCCTCAGAAGGTGATTGTGAAGATGGACTGAGGAGTTTAAAGGAAGTCTGAGCTCTATTTGCTGCCTTGTTTGTTTGTTTGTTTGTTTTTTAAAGGTATTTTGCCTGGAATTGCCTTCAGGAGGGAGGATCTCAGAAAGGAGGAACCCCGCCCCCTTTCCTTCCAGGCTTGTAATCCCAGTATCTGGGGTCAAAGAGCCGCAGTGTTGAGCATCACTGAGCAGACAGGAGGGTGCGGTGAGGGGTGACCTTGGGGCAGACGACCCTGAGGAGGGGGCAGGGCAGAGGAGGGAACTTGGGCAGGATGGCCCCCACTCTTGAGCTGCTGGGGGTGGCCTGCTTCCAGATCTTCAGTCGGGGCCTAGCAGGTGTCCCGGAGACGCCTCTGACCTGGGGTGAGCTGGGGCCGCACGACACCATCAACAGCTCCCTGCACCCCCCCCTCCCCCCCCGCCACCACGACTCTCCAGTAAACCAGGGCTGGATTAAGGCAGAGGAGGGCTCCCTTACCACCAGTCTCCCTTCTTTGCTCATGCCATCACCCGCACCAGGCAGCACTCTCCCACTGCCTGTCTGACTTAGGCACCCCATGGGAGGCAGAGGTAGTCAGGCCTAACTTGGAACCTGAGTATCTCACTGGAGAAGGGAAATCCGAGTGCCAGTAGGCAGTTCTGCTCGCTGGGGGCTGGCCCCCTCATCACCAAAGGTTGCCCGGGAGTTGGGTCAGTTTCCGCACATGAAGCATAAAAGCACATGACTGGAATCAGCTCTCAGGAGAGGATCGTTCTTTGCGCCGAAGAGCAAAGCTAAGGGGGGAAATGTGGCAAAAAGTGGGCAATGTGCTCATGTTCCCCTTCTCTCCATCAATCCCAGTTCAGGACACAGCAAAGACACTTTTCTAGTCATGTAGCCCACATGTGAGGGAGGGAGAGACACTCCTCACGTCTCCCCCCTGCCCGGGCAGCGATGAGATAGAGGACTGATGGAAGTTGGCTGAGAGACTTCTGTGCCGGGGCAGATGCAGCTGTAGGTCTGGTTTCCCCCAAAGGGCTTATGTGTAGTGATCAGGGGCAGAGAACCTGTGATCTATCTGAGATCATAACCTTTTTATGTCTTTAGATGTGAGGGTGGACTGGCTCTGAGGAAAAGCTGCTTGCTCGCCAAGGCAGGCCGCCAGTGGCAGAGGACCCGAGTGAGGGAGCGGAGAGCTCAAAACCAAGCCTGCCCACTCCTGCACGGCGCAGCGACCCTCGCTGTGTCCCTTGGAGGTGAAGAGGCATGTTGTTAAAAGGAGAAAGCACATACTGTTCTGTCACTCACCTCTCCCTTCAGCCCAGATGCTCTTCTGGCCCCGCCAGGTTTAAACACGTGCACCCACATCCTCCTCAGAGCTCTGCCCACCCCCCCCACCCCCGAGAGCCCCACCAAAATTTCAGAGGTGCCGCACTTGGGCTGGCCTGTCTGGGGTGGGGGACGGAAGAAAAACACAATCCGTGGTCAGGGTCCTCGCCCGGGGAAAGCTGGGCTCCCAGCCCTCCACCCTGGGAACGGATCTTGGCCTTAGGGAACTGCCTTTTCTCCAGACTCTCTAGCCTCCGGGGAGTGATGAAGCCAAGGGCCCTCTGGCTCTCTCTCCCCGAGAGTTGTTGCTAAAAGGTTCTGAGGCCAAAGCCTTCCTCCCGGGGCAGAGGAGTTGAGCAGGGGAACTCTCTCGCTCGTAAGGAAGGCATTGCTGTCACTTGAGTCTGCAGGCAGAGCGTGCGCCAGCTTTGATTCCCGCAAAACTGGCTCAAAGAAGCAGGAACGCCTGTGCTGGGCCCTGGCCCGAGGTCCCACCCGGGGGCTTTGGGGGCTCATGCCGACGCCAGGAGGGCCAGGTCCTGCCTTGGTCCTGCCTTGGTCCCCGTGCGGACTGCTGGGAGAGGCCAGGGCTCCCTCTTCTGGAGTCCCCTTCTCCAAGCTCTCCGAGGTGAGAGAGGAAAGAAGCTGCACCGCCAGGTTGCAGATTTTTGCCTCAGGCAACTAAATTTATTAGCAAGAAAAAATTTTTGTCAGCCCAGTGCTGACCAACAAAGTACATCGTTAATAAAGGATAACAAATCTGTCACTTAATTCATAAAACATACCTCAAGCAGTTACAACTAAAAATAAAGTTGGATTTTTGTTTAATTTAAAAGCCTCAAAAATAACAAGCAATATGTTTTTAAACATGTAGTAGACACAATTGTCCATTATACAATATACACTGTACACGAGTAGGGCTGGGGCCACAGCTGGGGTGGGATGAGGGGGAGAGGGAAGGGGTCAGGAGGTGAAGGTGTTTTTATCTGGATCCAGATTCGAGTTGAAATGCTGTGTCATTTAGAAAAGAGAATTGCTAGAATGAGGGAAAAAAAAATCCGTATGCTCTTCATTGCCCCCCAAACCCTAAACTGAAGCAGGCGTGGGGGAGGTGAGTAACGAGGACAGGAAGAAGGGAGCAATTAAATAAAACTTTAAAGCACACACAATACACAGTGTTCATCATCTGAAGTAGAGTATAAGGCAACGTTCTCCATAGAAAAAGAGGGCATCGGTGGGTAGCTTGACTTTTTAAATAGAAAGTTGGAATGTGCTGGAGGAGAGCTGTGGCAGGGCTGGGCATGTGGAGTGGAGGCAGCCCCGTGAGCCTCTCCGGGGGGAAGGGGGTGCCAGTGGTGCCCTGGGTGCAGGGTCCCAGGGCATCCGAGGTGGCTGGTGGGCTGGGGAGGGGCGGGGGGGGAGAGAGAGAGAGAGATGGCACAATGCGACTCCGGCAGTGTTGGGGGAGAGGACTGGGGGGGCTCACTTTGCTCCTCGACGGAGTGAAATTCATGTTTTTCCTTTGGAAATAAGGGTTCCCACTCGTCCTGGTTTAGAACGTCTCATTGGGCACGGCCAACGTCCACGGTCTGGGCAGGCCGGGAGCTCGAGGTGAGAGGGGAGGGCCGGGGCGGAGCCGAGGGGCTTGAGAGGGAGGCGAGTAGGGGCAGCGGAGCCCCTTCCTGGGGGGACAGTCGCAGAACAGAAGGGAGGGGCCGACGGCAGCCCGGGGACCTCCTTTCCACCAGGGGCCCAGGCAGGACGCAGATGAGGGACTGTGTCTTCGGGGCCTCCTGCCTCAGTTGGCCTTACAAGTTCTTTGTGACCAGGTGGGTCTTGTAATGCTTGGTGAGATGGTCACTCCTCATGAAGCGCTTCTGACACTGGGCACACTCGAAGCGTTTGTCCCCTGGGAAGACAAGATGCACGTCATTGGGAGCCCACGTGCAGACACTGTCCCAGCCGACGAGGGGGGGGTCACCCTGTAAAGCTGGCATCGCCATCCTGGTCTACCCACCTCCTGCTTACACATCCGCTCCCTACGGTCGACTCACGCAAAGCCTGTGGCAGTTCTCGTTTCTCTGCGCCCCCGTGTGACGTCACTTCCCCGTCTCCTCTGTTCCCATCCTCCCTCCCCTGCCTGAAGCGCCCCAACGTGGGCCCCTGTACCTGCACGAGGGCTCTTCCTGTGTAGGGAAGGCTATCACCTGCTTCCTTCTGATCTCCGTCCCTGTGACTAACCCTGGCTCCATGTCTTCCCCCTGCGAGGAAAGCCCCACTCCTCGCTGGCCCGCCACTGCTGTTCTGAGTAGTGACTCTTTAGTCCCGGGGCGGGGGGGGGGGGGCAGGATCTGCCCCCCTCCCCTGCCCCTCACCGGCCAAGGACTTTGGCTTCGGGTCGTGTGCCCCATCCCCAGGCCCAGGATGGCGGTCCCAGGACAGGGGTCTGCTCACGGACGCCCTCGCTCTAGCAGTGGTTCTCAAAGCGTGTGCTGGGGGCCGCCGGAGATTCCCGCAGCAGTGCTTGGTGGCAGATGGGTGAACGTTTTTCTATTTTATCGTTCTCTATTCGCCAGTGCGTTAAAACATGTAACTATGATATCAAGCCTGCGGGGTCAAACACATGGCACTGGACACAAATGAGTAAAAACAGTGAAACGATGTGAGGGAAGTCATTTGGTAGATACTAGCAGGAAAGGCAGTGTGGGGAAGTGATGAGTACGGACCTGGGACAGAGCGCGTGGGTTGAACCCGGCTCCACCTGTCACTAGCTGGGTGACCCGGCCACCTCTCTAGGCCTCAGTAAAATGGGCACAATCAAAGAGCCCTCCCCACAGTCGTTCAGAGGATTAAATGAGTTCATGGGTAAAAAGCACTGTACGGTGCTTGGCCCTCTCCACCAGGGCTTGTTAAATAAGTAACTCTGCGGCTCTGGCGGAAGTCGTGGAGGCTGGGTCAGGGAAATGACCTCCGTTTGGGAAACACTGCAGTAAAGGACTGGCTTGAAGGGATTTCCTGGGTCGTCCTGGCCCCCCTGAGAACAGTCTGTGGCTCTTGCTCAGTGGGGCAGCTCGTCAGCAGGGCCAGGAGTCGGGATGCTGCTGAAGGCAGCAGAGGGGGTGCGGGCCCGAGGGGGCCGCAGGGGCGGGCGGCAGACCTGTGTGCGTGCGGGCGTGCCGCTGCAGCTCATCGCTCCGGGTGAACCTCTTTCCACAGAAGAACCAGTTGCAGACAAAGGGCCGCTCGCCGGTGTGCAGGCGCACGTGGGCCCGCAGCAAGGACGTCTTCCGGAAAGTCTTGCCACAGTCGGGGATATGGCACACGTGCTTCTTCTTGCCCTGCTCTCCGGACCTGGGAATTGGGTTGAGGGGCAGGGACGGAGGGAGTGGGAAGCCGAGAAAGGGAGGAGGTAGAAGATGGAGGCAGGACAGGATGGAGAGAGGATGCGAGGTCAGGTCCGAGGGCACAGGAAGGGTGAGGAGGACATCCCCTTTCCATCTGTGTCCCACAGAAGGGCTGGGGGAACAGGCATGTGCCAGGCTGGTGGTCTGGACTACCCCCAGCCCCACGTTACCTCTTGTCCCCATCCTTGCAGTTGGGACACGTGCAGGCCATGCGGCGCCGCTTCTCCCCAGGCTGGGCCTCTCCAGCCAGGGCCTGCTCCATCTGCAGCTGGATCTGGGTGGGGCTTAGCCCACTGATGGTCAGGTTGTTCCCGGAGACGTTCTGCACCGTCAGCTGCTGCTGCCCTGTGGGGCAGAGGGGGGCACAGTTGAGGGTGCAGAAGCCGGATGCCCTTCTGCCCTCGATAAAGGTGGTCGTGGCGGCAGCTCCTATTTCTGTGAGGCTCTTATGTGCCACATACCATTTTCAAGGCTGCAAATGTGTTAACTTGCTTAGCCTTCACAACTCCATAAATCAGACACCATTATCCCTCTTTTGTAGTTGAGGGACCTGAGGCTCAATAACATATCAAGGCCACAGCTAATCACTGGTAGGACCTGGATCTGAACCCAGGCAGTTGACGTCACGGTTGGTGTCCTGAGTCACTACACTGCCCACGTGACTTCAGTGGGGAAAGTTCCTGTCTTGGCTTGTCTTGGGAGTGTTTCTTTGGAAACTCCTCCAAGCTCAGGCTCTCAGGAAGGTCTCCAGGGATCGTTGGTACAAAGACTGAGAAACCAGGACAAAATCAAGTCCTCTACGACTTGCATAAAGCCATTCTCAAGCAGGGGGAGTGTCACTGACCTAACACTGGTGTCTCTCTGAGTGGATGCATCCCATGCCCCTAACCCAGACGCACAATACGTTAAGTGCTGTAAACTCATTTAAGGATGAAAAGAGGAGATTCGGAGAGCTTCCACTACCTTGAAAAGTGCTCTTCACCCAGTTAAAGAACACCCTGCTGAAGTACAAGGAACCATTTTTGCTACGTAGCTACAGTGTGCCCTTGATTATGTGCAAGGCGCTTTCGCACTGTAAATACTACCAAATATAACTACTGAAACGAAGTGCAGGACAAGCCAGTCCCGCTGCCAAAGGCTCTGTCCTCTCCTTCCCACCTTAACTCAAGGCTGTCTCCTTCCAGAAGCCTTCTTTCATGTCCCTTTACCTGGAACCTCCCTTGAACATCTCCCTCATGTCTGTACCAAAGTAATCTGCATGTGTATGTTAGTTGGAGTTTTCCTGAGTACATCTTATGTCTCCATCATATTCCAAGATCTTCAGCTGTCAGGTGGGGCCAACATGTGTCTTAGATGATCTCAGAGGGCAACTGTAAGGACATGCTCTTAAGCTAGAAGGGGCCAGGCAAATGATGGGCAGTGTCCTCGCTGTGGTGACTGGAAACCCCAGGCTGGCCCACAGTTCTCACGGGCAGGACAAACAGGCCCGCTGCCCACACCCTGGCTCAGGGGCCCTCCCCTCACCGCCGGTGCTGGTGATGGTGACAGGCACGCCCTGGACCTGGACACCGTTGATGCTGATGGTCTGCATGGCCTGGGCCGCGGCTGCCAGTTGCGCTGCGTTCAGGCTGATGATGCTCCCGGCGGGGGCGATCTTTGGCAGGGGGCGCTCTTTCCGGAGGATGGCGGCCGAGTGCTTTCTGCTGGTCCCACTCAGATGGGGAGCACGGGACGCAGGGCTGCTACACGTGGTGGCAGAGGGGGCTGCAGCTGTTGCTGGGGGGCCGTCCTGGACAAGGACCGTCTGCACCTCACCAGAAGGCGTACGGATGTAGACCTGGAAGGGCCGGAGGAAAAGGGTCAGTGCCCCAGGACAGACTGCGCCCCACGCCCCCACACCTTTGAATGCAGTGTCACCGCCCTCACCACCCAGGTGAGAAGTGGGGGCACCTCTTGGTCCACCCAAGTCTTCTCCAACTGGCCCAGACCTACGTTCACACTGCCGATGGCATCCCTGTACTAAGGTAGCAAAATGCTGATTGCTGATTGGAAACCAACACTGAATTTACTCAGCATGGAAAAATACACTGCCAGCCCTCAGAATTAGAGAACTAGAAGGCAGCGAAATGGTGACGTCAGAAAAGATGCACCGTGAAAGACCACCAAACAAATGAAAACAGCTCTTAAGAGGCACAATCGATGAGAAACAGTTGTTCCCACCTCAGATTGGCAAAGATGGAAAAATAAAATATAATGCTCACCGTTGGTGAGACAGAAGGGAGACAGGCACTTACTCTTACATCAGGAGCGGGAGTATAAAGTGGTCTAGGCTTGCCGGAGGGAAATTTGGGAGTGTGTCTCAAAGGCGGCAAGATATGCACGTTAGAGCCTGAATGGGACGAGGAGGGCTTCTGTGGGGCAGTGATGACAGCAGGCCGGCCCGGGTGTCGCCGGCCCAGCAGGCTGAGGAGCGTGTCCACGTGGAATATATTAAGGCTAAAGGAAGCTAGGTTTCTCACTGTCAGAAGAAGGTTACAAATATGGAAAGGGAGAAACTAGGATGAAGTGTGTGGCACTAGATAGGAATCAGAGGTATTGTGGCAACTCTTGGGTTTCGATATAAAGACAGAAATATAGATATAAATGTGTGTATATCTGTAGGTGTACATGTGTGTGTCCACACCTATGTCTATATATCCAGGCATTACATGTGTGTACATATATATGTATGTATATTTATATATAGTTCTTGGCTGTGTCTACTGAGAAGGGCTGGGAGCAGCAACGCTCCAGGGGCAATGAGCTCACCCAGCACCCGGGATTCAGCTTCTAAATATCATGCTCCACTAAAAGGAACCAGGGCTCCTTGGAGAAAAAAACGGATTCCAGGTTTGGGGGCAGGGAGAGTACAAGAAGAGACTGGAACATCTGTGGTACCAGCAAGTAAGAAGGTCCTCAAGGAACGGGGGTACGACGGGAAAAGGACACAGGAGCCAACTTGAGGGCGCTCCCACTGGCCAAACGGGGTAACTTGAACGTCAAAATCTTAATACTAATGGATTACAACCCACTGAATAAAATGGGAACCTAATAGTCCCTATTGACATAAACGAATGGAGAAGAGAATGACATATTTAAACAACCATTACTGCACTCTCCAAGAACGGTCGATCCCAGGGCTAAGAAGATGGCCCCTGTATCCCCTGGCCCACTCCCACCTTTTGTTGCTTTTTTAAATCAGCTTTGAGATATTCAGGTGCTATGAAATTTACCCTTTTAAAGTGTACAGCTCAGTGGGTTTTAGTATATTCACAGAGCTGTACACTCATCCCTGCTGAGAACATTTTCATCCCCCAAAAGAGACCCTCTACCTTTAGTAGTACCTCTAAAGTAAGGTAGTACTTACTTACTTAAATAAGTAAGAAATACAAGGAATGAAGCACTGACACCTACGACAACAGGGGTGAACCTTGAAAACGCTACTACTAAGTGAAAGAAGTCAGTTGCAAAAAATCACCTACTGTCCGATTCTATTTAAACGAAATGTCCAGAATAGGCCAATTCACAGAGACAAAAAAAATGGATTCGTGGTTGCCAGGGGAGTTGGGGGGAGAGGGGAAATGAGGAGGTACTACTAAAGGTAGAGGGTCTCTTTTGGGGGGATGAAAATGTTCTCAGCAGGGATGAGTGTACAGCTCTGTGAATATACTAAAACCCACTGAGCTGTACACTTTAAAAGGGTAAATTTCATAGCACGTGAATATCTCATAGCTGATTTAAAAAAGCAACAAAAGGTGGGAGTGGGCCAGGGGATACAGGGGCCATCTTCAAAGCACTCCAAATGGCCGAAGCTGGGAACAATGTGAGCAACAAAATAAATAACATGATCCTGGCTTATAACCCAAAGTATAAAATAAATACACACGAACCCCTACTGCTAATAAATAAATGATTGAGGGGCGCCTGGGTGGCTCAGTTGTTAAGCGTCTGCCTTCGGCTCAGGTCCTGATCCCGGGGTCCTGGGATCGAGCCCCGCATCGGGCTCCCTCCTCAGCGGGAAGCCTGCTTCTCCCTCTCCCGCTCCCCATTCTTGTGTTCCCTCTCTCACTATGTCTCTCTCTGTCAAATAAATAAATAAAATCTTTTAAAAATAAATAAATAAATAATGATTGAAAAAGTAAACTGAACAAAGAAGAAAAAACTTTTCCTTATAGAAGAATTCCAAATAATATTTCATAGATAACTTTCTTTTCCAGGATGTACAGCTTAATTCCCACCCCCGAAGACGGGAGACTTAGCAACTCCCTTCTGAAGAACAGAGAAAGGGAAAAGTAGCAACTTCCAATGAAGAGACCTGGCCAACGTTGCCTTAATCAGTGCAAAAGGTTATCATCAGGGACAGGGCATCACCAGGATGTCATGTGGATATCACGTGCTCCTCATGTAATGTGAGAGGGCCATGTCACCTCTGCAGTATTCTTTCCAAAAGCCCATAACCCCAGAGTGGGGGAAGTTCTGTAGGATATTTGACCGATACAGTTCACGACTGTCAAGATCATGGAAAACAAGGACCAAAAGCTATCACCTGAGGGTCCTGGGCCACTAAGTGCAACGTGGTATGTGGACTGGATCTTGGAACAGAAAGAGGACATAAGTGGAAAAGCTGGTGGTATCCAAACCAAGTGTGAAGTTAGTTAACAGTCATGTGCCAATGTCAGTGTCTTCGTTTTGACAAAGGTACCTGTATGATGTTTAACAATTGGGGAAACCAAGCGAGAGGGAAAGAGACACTATGTACTCCCTTTGCAACCTTTCTGTAAATAGAAAGTTCTTCTAAAACAAAACATTAATTTTAAGAAAACCTCTATCATAATAAAAGATACTAAAACAAGTGGGAAAAAGTCTGATGAGGAATGGGATATTTACGTAATCTCAAAGTACCTCCCTACAAAATACTAATTCGTTACAAAGAAAAAAAGGTGCAGAAATCTGGCGAACATCACTTTAATTGTCCTCAGTACTGAGACAAACTGAAATCACGCACCCCTTTTAGGGGACAGTGAGAACACAGCATCACGTCTGCGGTATTTCTGCAAAAAAAACCCCAAAGCAAACAAAAAACAAGCCACAAAAACCACACAACCCACATGTCATGAGGAAACATCACAGACACCTAAACTGAGGACCGTATTCCAAATAACTGGCCTGTAGCCTTCCAAAGTGTCAAGGTCGTGAATATCAAGTAAAGACTGGGGAACGAAAGACATTAGCATGTTTCATTGCTAATTGTATTGTTGTCATGTACAATGTCCTTGCATGTAATAATGAGACACTTTCTATAAAACATTTGGAAGTGACAGGGATCATGGTGGCAACTTACACTCAAATGATCCAGGAGCAAAAAGTTATTTGTTAAAAAAAAAAAAAAAAAAAATCCTGCTGTGATTTTGATTAGAGTTATTTTTAATTCCTGGGTTGTTTGGGATTGTTTCTCAGTTAAAAGCAAAGAAACAAACCTCATGTCATCTCTTAATGAATAGACACATCTTATCGTACCCCTTTTGCATATCAATGCTATTTCTGTGTATCTCAAATTTCTGTTACTAGAACATTTTTTGTTCATAATATAGAGCAGGGGTCAGCAGACCTTTTCTGTAAAGGGCAGACAGTAAGTATTTTAAACTCTGCAGGTCATGACGAGGTCCCTGCCTTGTAGTGCAAATGCAGTGCACACGGGCATTCCAGTGTCTGCATTCCAGTTCAACTTTATTTACAACAAAAACAGAAGCGTGGGCCAGATTTGACCCCAGGCTGTGGACTGCCCATCTCTGATACAGAATATAATACCTTTCAGAAAAATGTGCATATGCTTTGCCCCACTTTTAGGAATTTAGTTAGCTGTAAGACTGTAAACTGCCTAATCTACAGTTAAGAGAGTATTAGTTGTGTAATATACAGCAACTCAGGATATTGGAAAACTATGTCATCTTTAAGAAATAAGGTAGCTAAGGGCGCCTGGGTGGCTCAGTCGTTAAGCGTCTGCCTTCCGCTCAGGTCATGATCCCAGGGTCCTGGGATTGAGTCCCACATCGGGCTCCCTGCTCTGCGGGAAGCCTGCTTCTCCCTCTCCCACTCCCCCTGCTTGTGTTCCTGCTCTCGCTATGTCTCTCTCTGTCAAAAAAATAAATAAAATCTTAAAAAAAAAAAAAAATAAGGCAGCTAAAACTTTCTGCATATGTATGATTATTTCCTTAGGAAGACCTGGGTTAAGCCGTGCCTCCATCAATCTCAAGATATGGGACCTCAGGGAAGGGAGGGGAGGTACCGCCAAGGACGTGTGCACCTGAGCTGTCACCTCAGTTCTTCATCTGTAAGGTAGGTCTGGTAATGGAACCTCATAGGAATTCTAGTAAGTAAATTAAACAGTGTAAAGAAAATCACTTGGCAATACTTAATATGCCAGGATGGAGGAGGCATTCCAGGGCAGGCCTCAGATTTTCTCCTGTGTGACTTCCATGTCCATAGCTCAATCTCAAGGGCACTCCTTCTCCACCCAGGAGAGGACATAACTCCCCACTGTCACTCTCTGTGATGCTTCTGTTCTCTCTCCAGACAACTCCAGATTATAAATTCCTCAATGGCAGGAGCTATATTCTTATATTTAAAAAGATCCTTAACAACAACAACAACAACCTTGTCCTCAATTTTAACTGTAGCACCTGCCACACTGAGAAACAGCAAGTCAAGGTGAAAAGTGGAAAAGAGCATGGGGTTTGAAGTCAGAAACTTGAGTTGAATCCTGGCTCTTGTCATCTATGCCCCACGAGCTCTTGGATACTTCCTGAGTTCCAGGTTCTCCCATCTGCAACATGGGCATAATCTCTGGCATTTACTAGGCATACACAAACAATAAAACCACCTCACAGGGCCAAAGAGATTCGAGTAATATGGCACCTTCATATAAGCCCCCCAAAAGAACATTCTTATTGAATTATTAACATCCCAGATGGATCTAGCCTAAGTATTCCTGCTGTCAAGCTGGGCTATGTCTTCCTGTTTTTTTTTTTTTTTAAAGATTTTATTTATTTATTTGAGAGAGAGAATGAGAGAGAGAGCATGAGAGGGGGGAGGGTCAGAGGGAGAAGCAGACTCCCTGCCGAGCAGGAGCCCGATGGGGGACTCAATCCTGGGACTCCAGGATCATGACCTGAGCCGAAGGCAGTCGCTTAACAAACTGAGCCACCCAGGTGCCCTGTCTTCCTATTTTTTTCCTTGCCATTAACAATGACCAGAATTTTTCTCCTTGTTCTTGCTTTAAATCAAATTCTATGGTTCTGACTGAAATTCGTTTTTCTTGCTACTGTTCTGAGTATGTAGTTCTATCAAAAAAAGTAAATTTTATTTAAAAAAACAAGTATGTATCTGCCCCCTACCCACCCTCCAAAAAAGACTCCCCAAAAAGAAGTGGACCATAATATAGGTATATAGGGACGTCTCATCTGATTTCTAAGGATGAGCTGTACATAACCCTCTGAACTGAAGAGACCCCATGTGTCGGCAGAAATGGCCACTCACTGCCCACCCCAGGCAACACGGACTCCTAGCACTCAGGTCAAACCAGGAGATGCATCAGCATCATCTTCCAAGCAAGCCAAGGGGGAACAGAGAGTCAGCCATTCAGTGCGAAGGAGAGAGAGGCAGGTGCAGAGGGTGAGTGTGGTACCTGAGTAGGCGTCGGCTCAGCCGCCTGGATCTGAAAGTTCTGGGAGGGCTTCTGGGGGACGGTGGGGAGGGTGGCAGATGCCGCCTGCACCACCCGCAGGGCCTGCTGGGGGATCTGCACCACCTGCTGCTGCTCGGCCTTGGGGGGCACCACCTGGACCTGCTGAACCACGGCGGGCTGGCCCCCACCGGGGCTCTGAACAATGAGCAGGTTGTTTCCTGCCTGGATGATGTTGTCCGCAGTGGTCTCAATCAGCACCGTCTCCACCTGCTCGGCCACAGCCACAGGGGGCTGGGAGGCAGGGAGACTCTTCTTCCTGGCTTTCTTGTTAGTCTTAGACAGTGGGGTGGGGGGGCTCTCCGTGAGGAGCTGAGTGGTGGCCCCGGAGTCGCTGGTGTTCACAAGGTTGTTGACGGGCAGAGTGAGCGTCACGTTGCCGCCCCCACCTGTCAGCTTCACCACATTGGCCCCACTCTGCACAGGGGTGGTGGTCGTACTCGACTTCTGGACGGGGGCTGGCTTGATGGGGACAGGCTTGTGACTGGATGGTGAGGGGCTGATGATGGCTTGGCTGGTGCCGGGGATGATCTGGATCTGGTTGGTGAGACTGGGCTGTACCTGGATAGTCTGGGAGTTGCTCGCCTGTATCTGAGGGACCGCCTGGTACTGGATATTGGCATTTGATCGGGTCCCTTTGTTGATCACAGTGGGGTTCTGGATAGCGAACACCAGCTGCCCCCCAGGATAGGATGCACTCAGTTGCGACCCCTGAATCTGAAGGATGTTTCCTTTGGAGGACAAGATTCCAAAGCTATTCTTGCCAGGACTGAGAGGGAGAGGGGCAGGTTTGATGGGGACGAGTTTCCGTGGTGTGGGCTGGGGGGGAGCAGGAGGGGTCACCGCAGCTTCCACGGCGGGAGGGCCAATTTTGCTACATGTTGCAGCAAGCAGGGCTAGAGGAGATGGCTGGGAATCCTGCGAGAGAACAAGCGGAGGAAAGGTGAGACGTGAACCTGCTGCCCAGCCACCCTCTGCCCTTCATGGTCCTCTCCTCTTGGCAGGCTCTTCGCCACCTCTGTGGTAGGCACGGTGCCAACATCTTTCCCTTCCCTGCTGGCTCCTCTTTGAGGGAGAAAGAGTAGGCAATGTCTTTCTCAGGAAGGAACTCTCCAGGAGTCCCCATTTACAGGGTGAACCAACACCCTTACTTCCCAGCAGCCTTGTTTCTCAGGGGGTCACGGAATCACCCTCAGCTCTTAGGCAGAAGCCCACTGGCCCATCACAGGCGTTAAGGGGCCCCTGATTCCTCAGCTGAGGAAGGACTGAGGGAGGGACGGAGGGAAAGAAGAAGGGACAGGCCGCAGGAAGAATAAACACTTTGGTAAGGTGGGGAGGGCTGCTCTTTCGAGGTGACAAGGATAGAACCTCTGGAGTGTAGGGACCCAGCCTCTATTTCCCTTTTATGGTCAGTGGGGAAATCCTGCTTTTCCCCCCGACTCAACTGTGCCACCTCAGGTAAGTGGCCCTGGCTTCTCAGTTCAGAAAAAGCAGACAACCGAACCTTCCCAGGGCTCATATCCCAGGGTGTTTATAGTGAGCCAGGACAGAGTCTTCAGCTGTGGTTTAATGTCAGCTTCAGCGAGTGCTTCCAGGCTGGTGCAGCCCCCAACGCTCAGAACCCGCTGCCCACTCACCTGGGTGGTGGAGGCGGCGGGCTGCAGGTAGTCGCTGGGACTGACAGCGGCAGTAGCGGCCATGCTGGTCTGTGGATCTGTTGGAAGAGGAGACGGAATAATGCACAAGATGCCCAAATGGAACCCAGGCCCACGGGCCTCAGATACCCTTTTTGCCTCTCTTCACTGCTGCTTCTCTGAGAGGTAAACCTTTCCTTACACCTCCCCACTCAAGGTTAGCAAGCCTACGTCTTGTTCAGTGGATGACCTCTGCTTTCCAATGACTTGTCCATCCCGGGCTGTGAGGGCAGCTGGTCCTGTCTCCAGCCATCGTAAAGCCTGGGACAACACGAAGATACGAGACTTTGCCAAGACCAGCTTCAGTGACCTAACAGCTGTCTCTATGGGGTACTGCTGACTCTCTCTAGCTGGGTCGGAATCCCTATTTGGTGAGCAGGGGAGTCCCCCTCACCCCTGCAGTTCATCCTCTAGTTCTAACCCAAGCTTTTTTTTTTTTTTTTTAAAGATTTTATTTATTTATTTGACAGAGAGAGAGAGCGAGAGCAGGAACACAAGCAGGGGGAGTGAGAGAAGGAGAAGCAGGCTTCCTGAGGAGCAGGGAGCCCGATGTGGGACTTGATCCCAGGACCCTTTAATTAATTCTGCACGTTTTAATTCGCGCTACATTTGAGCCGAAGGCAGACGCTTAACGACTGAGCCACCCAGGCACCCCAACCCAAGCTTCTTGCTCACTCCTGCTATAGCCAGATGCCAAGTCAGCCTGGGAGAGTAGCGTCTCTCAGCCAGGATCCCTGACAAAGATACACCTGCTCCATGAGGAAGTCTTAGGTGCTTTATGCTCAGCCTTCACCACAAAAGCGCCATGGCCCAGGTAATGATCTTCAGCATATGGGTAACCGCTTTAAGTGAATTTACGTAGGCTAATAGGTATGGCCCCAAAGGCTTCACCAAGACTAGAACTAATGACTGAATATAAGAAGAAGAATGAAAATAGAGTAAATTCTGTTTTCGTTAAACATGGACATATTTCTGTATGTGAATACAGCAGGAAAAGTCTTTGAAAATGCTGGAATGTTGAAACCCATTATCTCTTGGTGGTAGAATTTTGCTTGACTTAAATTTTTTTCCTGTTTTTTCTGGATTTTCTCATTTTCCCACAGTCAATATACTCTATTCTTTTTTTTTTTTTAAATAAAGAAAAATAAAGAATGTTGATGAAGTAATGAGGGGAATTACTCTGAAATCTGATATAAGAGAAATAGAAGTAAAATGGAAATCATGAGAATTTGGGGTGGGGAGAGAATCTATGCCATCCTGTAGTTCATAAATCACAAAGGAAAAGGACACCAGGCAGTGAGACTTGCATCCTAAACCTTTGGAAGGTAGCTTTCGAGAAGTACAGAAACAAGGTTATTATTTCAGAGAAATAAACTGTGTTGAGAAGCCAAAGGGCAGCTCTGGACAAAATCGTATAGGGAGATCCTGAAATATTACAGACACTGATCCTTGGCAAAATCCGAGAACACATGACCAAACAGCACACTACAATTACTGAAGGAAACAATGATCATGAGGAATAAGCACAGGGCTGCAAAAACGGAGTCATGCTGTCTCATGGGGTTTTGCCTGGATACATCAAGAGAAGAGTATACACTGTGTTTTTTTATTTCAACAAGGCATCTGACTGACATCTTCATAATATTCTTAGGAACAAGAAGGGAAAAAAACTGCAGGCAGGATGGTCTAGTCTGGGGGCTAAGCCAGATGTGCCTCCCCCTAGAAGTGCTGAGATCCGCACATCCTGAGGGGTTTGCTGCTGCAGGGGCAACCGGGGTGTCTCAAACTAGGGGTGAGTCCTAGGATGAGGGTCTGCAGCTTCTCCTTGGAGGCGCGTGCTTTTTCTGCCAGAATGTTTTCCTCTTGTGTTATCACTGTGATGGGCATCTTTTAAAAACAAACATCCACTGGGTGACTGCTACTTTACCAAGCTCTGCCTGTTTTGGGGCGTGTGTGTGTGTTTACAGCTGTATCGGTGCCAAGTGGCACCACTCTAACTGCGTGGGCTAATTAAGACAACTTAATTCTGCACGTTTTAATTCGCGCTACATTTGTGCAAAGTGAGGGATGATGGCTCTGCACAAGACATGGCAGGGTAGGCGTGCGAAACCCAAGCAGCCCGAGGTGTCAAGTTGGCCGTGCTTATGCTGACAGCAGTGATCTGGGTTCAATCAGATGTCATCCTCCCAGAATGTGGCTGGTGATGTGACTTTTACTGGCTTTTTGGTAGTTAATTAATTTTATAGGAGCTGGATCAGTGAGCTGATAAACAGATTTGTGTGCATAATTAAGTAAAGTTGCAGCATTATAAATGAAAACGATCTAAGCTGACTCAAAAATATTTTTCCTTTAGAGCAGTGGTGTTCAAACTATTTAGACCATGAGCCACAGTTATAAAAACAGTTTACGTCAAGACCCAGTATGCACGCACCCACACACTTCCCTGTCCTGTGCTCATGCAGTGAGTTTCTTGAAAAAAATAATCTGCCCTTACTATGTGTGACGGACTTGGGTATTTTTCTACTCTATTTCATTTTTTTTTAAATGCTAGTTGTGACTCACTGAATTGGTTCTGTGCCCTAGAGGCTGGAAAACGTGGCTTTAGAGTAGTTGACCCACCACCCAAGTTTGGAAAACCATGCAAAGACCAAGCAGACACGTTCAACTTGCAGATGTCACAAGACCGAGAAGGATTATAAATACACTGGCTGTCGGTATTAGGGTTCAAAGAGATCTTTACAAACTAGTATGTGCAGTGCTTTAGAGCATGAGGTCCCAAACCTCCATGAGAGTTGGAGCCGTGCTGTCATCAGTGGGGTGGCTGGGACATCCCTCTCAGGCTCACTGTGCCATCTATAGGACAGAGGGAACAGCATCCTCCTGGGATTCTGGGAGGTGTCAATAATTACTATGGAAGCAGCACGCACACAGTGGATAATCAATAAATAGTGTTTTAAATTTTGAAGTTGAGTACATCCTGCACTTGGGTTTAAAAAAAAAAAAAAATTCACATGCCTATAGGACGGAACAACAGAGCTTCACAGTGGTCCTCCTGTGAAAAAGCCCCAGTGGGTTTGCCTCAAAGCTAAACAGGAGGCAATAGAATCTAGATGTGGTTGCCAAAAATCTACTGCAATCTTGGACTGCATTTCCAAAAGTTCAATCATAGAGGGATAAAAATAATCATCCTAGTGTGTTCTGCACATTCAGGCCACATCTGGAGTGTCAGGTTTCGTTCTGAGGGATATGTTGAAAGGGGCATTTTCAATGGGAGCTTGTTCAGAGGACAGCTGCAGTGGTGTGGCCAGGATGCCGGACTAGTGATACCCACCAGGGCATCCACCCCATACGTGGTTCAAAGACTTCAGGATAGAAACGTCAAGAAGGCAGATTTTGAGGTGCCTGGCTGGCTCAGTAGGCAGAGCATGTGACTTCTGATCTCGGGGCTGTGAGTTTGAGCTCCATGCTGGATGTAGAGTTTACTTTAAAAAGGCAGACTTCAAATTAACAGAAGGGGGAACTTTCAAAAAATGGAATCAGTTGCCTTTTGAGGTAATGTTCTCCCTTTTCTGGAATCATTTAGACAAGAGGCAGGATGTGTGTCTCTGTTGGAGATGGGATGTCTAGATGGGGTGGGAACCTGGACTAAATGATATTGAAGATTTTTTTAAATTCTCAGACCATGTTGCTGTTAAAAACAAGCTGAGTTACTTGAGGCCAAGGCTGGGAAGGGAAGGCAGGGGGCTCTCCCAGGAGGCTCCCCTGGACTCAAGTTCCCTTGACTAAAATGGGTGACTGACTCTCCTGCAGACAGACATCTTCTGCTAAGGAAATGGAAGGGCACTAGAACAGGACAGAGTGCAAATGAAATGAAAACAGGCCTCGTGCTTCCTACTCATCTCCCTTTCCCATCTTCCTCTCTCCCTCTGCAGTCTTTGATACCCTGGACTCAAACAGTTTGGAGCTCGGGCTGGGCTCAGAGCGGTTCTTCAGTTAGGAAGTTAACAGCAGCATTTACTGGAGCAAGCTGCCAGAACTGCTGGGCCTGACATTGTACCATTTCAGTTTGGTTTCATTTTCCTCCCCAGCTGGCTCCTGAAATAACCCTCTAGCTTTCAAACCAGTGTTTGTAAGTATCTCTCCTAGTGTCGCTGAGCTTTGCAGCCCCTGGGCTGCAAGCTTGGGCAACCAAAACAGACTGATCTCCCTGCCATTGCAGAATTATATCCTGGGATTAACCATGAAAGGGAAAAGAGAAGCATTTCCAGTTGGGTGTTTGAAAATGAAAAGTGGTTCAGAAGTGGCGTAGATATGTAACTGCAAGACTATGATCTTTGAACCTCATTAATTTGGAACCTTATATCTAAACGTGTAATTGGGACATAAATTGTGCTTAAATTTGTCTTCATACTATTCAAAGTGAGGCTAACTATTGTATGAAGACTGCAAAGGGACTCCTGGGCATAATCATGTAATTGTTTTATACCGCTTCTACCATTTTAATCGTACCATTTGCTTTTAACAGTTTATGTCTGGTCACTGAAACCTACATTTAGCAACACGGTAAATGGGATTTAGTGAGTATTCTTGAAAGAAATGCTGCGTTCCTTTCAGAGTTCAGTCATTCAGACTCTTCATTAGTTCAGGTTGGCTAAAACTTTCCCAACAGTCCCTTGGCTGGTGAAGATTGACCGTGATTTATTACACAAACAACAGTAGCTCTCAGGCTCCATCCAAGGAAAACTTCCAGTGGCATCAAGCAAGGCTTCCAGACTGGGGGGCTGGGGGTGGGGTCGAGGGCTTGACGGCACCACCCCTGACCTTCCTCTCCCCATACTGGAAGCCAGTCTAGTTTCAACACGGCAGAAAAGGCATCCGCTGAGCCTCTGGCTTTTGATGGACAGATCAGCCATCTCCACCACCATCCCCTCCAGCGACAGCCTTTTTTTCCCTCCCTCCCTGGCCAAACTTGGTGGAAAAGCTGCCAGCACTTTACTGCTTCCCTCTTTTCTCACTTGCTAATTTCCTGGAGCAGCGGCTCTCTGCGGACACTGCTCCTGCCAAGGTCACCGAGGACCTCCTCACTGCTAGAGCCAACAGACCCTCTTCAGCAGTTCTTGACCCTTTCGCTGTTTCCTCCTCCTCAAAATTCCCACGGATCTTCTCCTACCTCTCTGGCCTCCTCTTCGCCTTGTGGGCTCCTCTGCCTTTTGCCACCCTTCAATACTACTGTTCCTCAACACCCCTCCTGCTCGCCCAATACCCGTTCCACAAGTGACCGTGCCCACTCACAAGGCTTCAGGTACCGTCCGCAGACTGACGACTCCAGGGGGTGTGTGTGGCGCCGGTCTCCTGAGCCCTTTGCAGGCCTTCGCTTGGATGGGCCACAGGACTGCCCACACTGAGCTGCCACCTTTGCCCGTTCTCTCCCCAGCTTTCTCATCCCCAGCCTCCACAGGCCCTCTTCCAGATCCTTGCAGTTTTCATTTCTGCCGCTGCCCTTTCCTTGCTCAGAGCTCTTCTCTCTTTACTAGCTAACACCTACTCACCCTTCAGGTCTCAGCCTGTTTTTTCCCCAGCGCAATTTATTGAGAGCCCACTCCGGATCCAGCGTGTCATTTACTCAGACCCCTGAGAGGAGGTTAACCCCTCTGGTAACCCTCGCCCCCCTTTAAATAATCATGGGCTTAATGTCTCTGTCGATATTCACAGGAGGGTGCCCAGGGTGGGCCAGGCCAGTTTTCAATGCACTGCTACACCACGCCCCAGCACACAACCCAGGGGTCCTTCAGCGCCCGCAGGCCGGAGGAGTCTTTGGTTCAACCAGCCTCTCCCTGGTATTTCTAATCACAAGGAAACCTGAACGTCAACCTCATCGCCAATGACTCATCAAGTCCTCATGATTCTACCTCCTAAATATAAACCTCTTTCCAATCCACTCACTGCTCTCCATCCCCTTCGCCATGACCCTGGCATTAACCACCTTCCACTCAGCCTGGAATACTGCCCAAAGCCTTCAAAATGGCTCCCCAGCCTCTGGACTTGCCCGCTCTAATCCAGCCTCCACTATCAGTGTCAGAAGAATCTTTAACATGCAAATCCCATCCAGCCACTCCGGATTATACCCTTCAATAGCTTCCAGATGATCTTATGATAAGCTTGTAAAAGCCAAAACAATCTGCCCTTCCCCCCTCCACCTCTCCTTTATCTCTTGCTCTTCCAACTCTCCCCACAGGCACGTCAGTGTTTTCCATTTCTGGAACTATGCCCTGCCCTCTCTCACTTGGAGCCCAAGTTTGCGCGCACGCGTGTACGCGCTCTCTGTCATTTATCTGGCCAACGGCGGTCCTCAGAGCTTGGTTTATAACTCACTCAGGCAAAACCTTTCCTGACCTCTTCCCTTCCAGCCCCCCGAGTCTGGGTCAGGTGCCCCTGCTATATGCCAATGCACAGGCCCCACAGCCCCCTTCACAGAGCAGGGAGTGCTATCTGTCCTAGAGGTCTTTCCATGGTTTGGCTCAAGGAGCACCAGTAACGGGAAGAGGCCTCCAACAGGACCCTGAAGTCCTGGCCATCAGACTGGGGGCCATTCCACTGGTCCTTCACTTGAGAACACTACTCCTGAGACACAAGGAATGAGAGAAGGGGTCCAAAGAAATACCACAAGAGGCTTTAGGAAGCTCTTTTCCCTCTGGAGAGAACTTGGGTCAAACTCCATAGCCAGACCTTGGGGGTACTTGGCTTTTTTTTTTTTCTTTGCCTCATGGGTTCCTACCATGGCTTTCTTGGCCATGCGCTATGTTATTTCCCCTGGAGGAATTTCACTCTGCACAAACAGTCCTTCTGCTGGCTATTTTGGTCAGCGCAGCTGGGCCGGAAGCCAACAAAACAGTGTCTAAGCCCAGTCTCTCCCAGTTGCCTGGCCTGGAAGAATTCAGAGCTGGTAAGGGAAAAGCAAGCCATGGCTGGTTTAAGAGAACAAAGCTGGACCTCAAAGGGCGTTCATAAATGAGCTAAGAGAACTGGCCCGCATGGAGGGAGCAGTGACACTGGCAGTTAAAGACTCCAAAGCACTGAGAAGCAAGTCTCCAGCACTGTAATAACCATACAGAAGAGCTCAATACGGGCAAAAGGAACTTCACTGACTTCCAATTCAGGAGGACACTGTGGGTGGCAGCTGGCTAAGCTGGCTAATGCCTCAGGCCAGAGGAGGAGGGTGGAAAAGAAGATTTTGTCTCTATCCAGACACTTTAGGAGCCTTCCCTGCGCCCAACTTTGACCCCGGCCTCAGCCCAGGACCCTTATGTGGGCCCACCATTTCATTAAGAAGTTAAAATTCCCTACATCAGCTAAGTTCCATTATTTCTCTCCATTTCAAGCAAAACCCCTTGCCAGTTACCCATAATTGCTGCCCCTAATTCCTCTCCTGCCATTCCTGGAACTGCTCCAGGTTTTGCCATGCCACAGAGACCACCAGTGACCTCACGTTGCTAAGTCTAACAGTTAATTCTCAGGCCTCATTCTGTGTGTTGATCTGACAGCAGACCCCTTTCTTCTTGAAACACTTCTCCACTTGGCTTCTAGGACACACTTGCCAGGTTGGCCTACCTCTCTAGCTACTTCTTCGAAGATTCCTTTGCTGGGTGCTCCTCTCCTCAAATTCTAATTGGTTGGGCGGCCCCAGGGTACCGTCTCAGCATTTACCTTTCTTCTGTTTACACCTGTTTCCTGGGTGATTTCATCTAGCCTCACAGCTTTAAAAACCAACAGTACATAGGTTCTACGTAATGATGACTTCCAAATTTATATCTGCAGACTTGTATATCCAACTGCCTAGTGACATCTCCACATGGATATGTTAACAAGCATCTCAAATCTAACTAGCCACTGATATCGCTCTAATTCTGTGTCTCCTTCAAACTTCCTCATGTAGGGGTTGGAATTCTGTCCTTCTAGCGGTTTGGTGCTAAAAACCCTGCAAGTCATCCTTGCCCCTTCTTATTTTCCACACTCTACATCTGACAGTCAGCAGACACTTTAGGTTCTACCTTCAAAATATATTCAGCATCGGACTGCTCTCACCACCACCTCTTGTTATCACCCAGATTCAGGTCTGCATCATCTCTCCCCTGGTTAAATGCAAAAACCTCCTATCTGGACTTCTGACCTTGTTCCCATCAGCCTATTCGCAACATGCATCCAGAATGAAACCTATCCACACTTCATGGTACTCCTCTGCTCAGAGCCCTCCCCCGCCCCAAACAGCATCCCCTCTCCCATTCAAAGAACCAAAGTCCCCACCACGACACATAAGGGCCCTATGTGACCTGTCTCTTGTGACCCCTCTGACCTATCCCGTCACTCCCCTTCACTGCTTCAGCCACACTCGCCTCCCTGCGGTTTCCCAACATGCCAGGTTTGGCCCTTTCTCAGGGCCTTTGCACTTGCTGTTCTCCTTCACCCTCCGCCTCCCAGCCCAGACTGAGCATGGCTGATTCTCTCCCTTCTCTCCCGTTTTGCTCTCACGTCACCATCTCACTGAAACTTTCCCTGACCACCCTATATAAATTTCAACTTTTCCCATTCTTCTATCCTCTGTTCTGTTTTTCTCCTTAGCACTTCCCATATCTAATACCGAGGAGTTATTTATTTATTGTCACCCGCTAAGATGTAGGCTTCCTAAAGCCAGGGATTTCCCCTTGCTTTACCCACTGTTGTATCCCTCCTACTTGGCACATAGTAGGTGCTTAGTATATTCTTTTTGAATGGATGAATGAATGAATCCTGGAGGCTGTAGAGCAGGAGAGCCTAAATGGAGTTTACAAGAGAAAACCCGCAGATGTGTGTGTCCTGGCAGGAGGCTGGGAATCCACTTGCCAGGTCGGCTCAGCTGATGCAGGCCCAGATGGAACTCTCAAGCCTGCCAGTCACGTCATGAGGGGACAAGTGCTTGTGTGCAGACCAGCACGGTCCAGTCCTGCTCCTGGACAAATATCTCCAAGCCCACACCTCATCACCACACACCAGGCACCACATTTCAATGCTTCTTTTGATTAACATACACAGGGAGGGGGCTCTTTTCCGAATAAGTTCAGATGAGAGCATCTGCTATATGTACACCCCTCCTCGAAATGGGACTGTCATTTGTTACTTTGCATCCTGCCTGGGTCACACCCACTGGTCCTAGAAGGGGCTCTGGAGAAGTGAGTGGGGACCCAGGGCAGCGGAGGGTGGTGGAAGCTCTGCGCTCTGACAGAGCAGCCCCAGGAAATGGTACAAAGAATCCTGACCTCAGAGCTGTCTTGGAGAACGGGAGAAAAAAAGAAAGCAAGATACACTTTTTCCCCCTAGAAGAGCATTCTGTACAAACACGCTTTCTCTGCTTTAGCACATTTATTTGAGTCACTCCCGCATTCATCCTGGGCGCGAACCAGTTCTGAGATGAGTGCTGACTTCATACCATTTACTGTTCTGAAGGCTGGGAAATGTTTCAGTCTGTGTTGAGGCCAATCTGAGAAGACTTCAGTTAGACACTGACCAGGGGCTGAAATGTTCCACTTCCAATCACACGGCCCTGCCTGCTATCTCTTATTCCCCAGTCACACTCTCTGAGAAGCCGCTTTGTGATTCCACGGAGTCCCAGAGGAGAGGTAACAAATACCCCAAAGAGGAAGCTCTAGAAAGAGGACATTTGGCAGGGTGCAGGCCAGTGCGTAAGGACAAACTGGCATCTTAGAGCCCTTAGAATCAAAAACAACAGTCACCCAAGCTAAACCTTGGCACTGGGATGGTGAGGCTTCTGGCCACGTGCGATTCGGCAGCTGAAACAAACTAGCTAAGGGAATGAGGTGTCCGGAGGGAGCATTCAAACAGCTGGGCCTGCACACATGCTTTTCCCGTGACACAAACAGCCCTGATCTCAGCACTGCTCGGAGCCGCTCCCGGGGACAGACTGAAGAGCATCTCAACTGGGCACTCAGCCCTTTCGCTCTCCGCTGCTCCTGAGCAGAGCTCATCTCCCCAGAGCCCACCAGCCCAGAGCCCACCCTGATGAGAAGCCTGGTCATCCCCCGTGTCAGTGACGGCCTCGGAGCACTCAGAAAGACCACTTCCTAGACACGTGGTAGAGGCCATGGCTTCCCCCAAGCAGTGAGTGCTGGCTGAACTTGCTCCTGGGTTCTCTTTCCATCATCCCGTGAGGCAGCAGAAAAATCAGTTTTCCATTCTGGAATCCTATCAACTAGAACAAATCTACCAGTACCACCTGGGAGCATCTCTTCTAGGGCGATCTCTAATCCCTTCCCTACTTAGGCTGACAATGCCCTTGAGTTGGTAATGTCCCATGTTTTTACCCTCTTAATCCATAGCAAAAAACAAGCAAAACATCAACAAATGCATTCCATCATGATGCACATTTCTCAGTCCAGCTTGTACTGATTTGGTCCAGCATGTAGGCCAAGTTTTCCTAGCTTAGAACTTACTAGAAGTTCCCTAATCCAGTTGAGCTACCCAAAGGAACCAGATGTATCACCCAATAAACTCATAAGAAAGTACTGGAGTTTCTCCAAATAGATTTTACTTCAAGTCTTCAGCCCACAAGGTTTCAACTGGACCACATAATCATTTAAACTCAGAAGTGTTCACATCTCTACACTTTCTAATACTCTATACGCACTTTAAAGCAGTGTTTCTCTGCATCTTTCATTCTGTGGCCATTGCCCACCCCTTCCAAAATAATTACATTTTTCAATCCTTGGAAGCAAGGCTTCCAATATGTGTGTAAACAGAGAATGAAGAAGGCAAAGATAAATCATAAAAGAAAAATATGCTACATTTCCATCATAGAAATGGGGTGACAAAGTCTAGAAGATTGCTGAACTCAAGCCAATACCAGGGTCTACTGGCTGACAGCAAGTTTAGAATGTCTTCATAAGGGCCCTGGATGGGCAATACTTGCTTAAAGCAGACTCGAATTATCACATGCCTATGGGCAAAGGATGGTTCAGGTTACAGAGACCCTGCAGCTTCTCCAGAGAGCTGCCATTAGTCAACAGAAGGAGGAGGAAGTTCAAGGCCAAGATATCCAAATGAACTAACCTATCTGCTGTTACGCCCTGAAGCTCCTTTACCCAGATAATTTGCCAAAATCTTCTTACAGCTTCTTCTCTCCTCTGACAGGCCTCCAGAGGCCCAAACTAATAGAATCGGAGGTAAAAAAACAAAAAAAACAAAAAAACAAAAAAACTGGCCAGTCTATGTGCTGTCAACACTGATGCCAAACTCTTCCTCCAGGAGCCAGTTCTCCCTATAGGGCAGTCAGGTGAGGATCTGATTATGAACTAACTCCACTTGGGTCTCCTTGGCAAAGACACTGTGTCAGACCAGTTTTTTTTTTTCCTTGCTGCAGCTTTCAAATGAAGGGGGTAAGCCTCTCTACAACCAAGGGGAAGAACCAGAATTAGAAAACTTACCAATCGCCCCAGCCAATGAGAATCCATTTCCAACAGGTATTAATGCCTGTTAGAAGCCACTGGAACACTGACATCATCAGCCCAACTGCTAGGTTGTCTGACAGATTCGCCCCCTTCATCGCACACAAGAATTTAAAACAAAACAAGACACTGCAGTTACATTCATTATTGCTGACAACATGTTTCTTTGTGTTATTAATCAAAATGACTTCTATGGTGTGGACTCCTGCACTGTTCCTTTAACAGCCTCTCTGTGAATTGGCCAACACCCTTAACTTTCTAGCCCTAAAAATCTTACCCAAAACACCAACTCAACACCTAGCCCTCCATTATGATACTTAATGCCTTCTGGGTTAGAGCATGCAAGTTTTAGATAGTGCATGCTAGTGCACCTTGAAAGAGTCATCACCTATAAATCATCGCTTAAAATCAGTGTCATGGGGGACCATGAGCCAATTCATTGCTTAAAGCAGATCTCTAGCTCCTCTCTCCCTTTCTCTAGGAATCAACAAGTGAGCAAGAAGTAACCTCAAGAAAAACAAACTTTGGGAGAATGTGCACTGAGAAGAGCCAGAGGGAGTCCCTCTGGATCAAGTTAATTAAGAAACAAACATGAGGGTATACTGGAATCAAAACCAAGGAACGCAGTGAAGACAGGTTTCTCAATTGCCCAGAGGAGAAGACACAGTTCCTTTTCAACTAAAATTAGAAAGCCACTGGGAACATAAGCCAAGAAGCACGGGTAGGAGGCTGAAAACCTTAAGTCAGCAATGGGGATGGAGGTGGGGTGGAGGAAGAAAGTAAGTATCGGTTTTGTTTTGTTTCTCTTGTTATTCCTTAGGTTTGCACCTGGCTTTTGGAAATCAGCAGTCCCCCCGACGGAGCATCAGCTAACAGGCTGGGAACTCTTTGTCAACAAGTTCTTAAACGGCTAACAATTCTGCTAAGAGCTTGCATGTATCTAGCTGGTACTCCAAAGACCCAAGTAAAAACATTAAACGGAGGTTTCTGCCCACTCCGCAGTCTAAGGCGAGAAGTCATCTGTCCAAGGGGTGCCCTCGTGTCCGGACACCATCTCTGCATTGGGACATATCGGGAACCAGGTTGGGTTCTCTGCCCAGCAGTGCCCATGTGGTTGGCGCCGTCTGCATTTCAAGCATTCCCTTGCTCCTCTCTGCACTCGGGAGGGCCCCGAATCGCTGGCGGGCACCTAGAGTCAGAGTGCAGGAGGGTCCCCCGAACACAGGACAAGGACGAGGAGCGTCGGCCGCCTCCTCGGGGCGGACCCAGGCTATGTCCACGGGCCGAGCAGCACTGAGGCGGGTCGGCAACCAGGCGGAGGGGGGTGCCAGGCCCGCCCGGGTGCCCGCACCTCTTGCCAGCCCCCGGAAGCGCCACCCTCCCGCCCAGCGGGCTCCGAGGGGGCGGGGAGTCGAACGCCCCCTTCCGGGTGCCTCCGCCCGGCTGGCCATCCCCGCTCCTCCTCCGGGCGGGAATCCTCCCTCCCCCGCCCCTCCCGGAGCCGGGCCCCGGCGCCAGGCCCGGCCCCAGGGGGGAACCCCCAGCCCCGGCTCCCCGTCCCTGCGGCCTCTGCCCGTCTTCCCGACCCTTGGGGGCCGGGAAGACCCCGCCGGCAGCGGCGAGGACCCACCGCTCATTACGACATCTTCCTCCCTGGCCTCCGCCGCCTCCGCCGCCACCGAGAGCCTGACACCGCCCGCCCAGCACCCGCCAATCCCGGAGCCCGCCACCGCCCGAGCGACGGCAGCGTTCACCAATAAAAGTTCAGTACATTGGGGACCGACAGCACCAATAACCAATCAAAGAGAGGCATCTAGAGCGACGTTGGTTTAGCCAATCGACCTGTGAAATGTCACTGATGGACGGTAGAGGGCACCAACCGGAAACCTACTGAAGAGTGAACGACATGTTCGCCAGCCAATTGGCGGGAGGCAAAGTCCCGCCCGCTAGGTGGATGATGGACAGCAACAGGAAGCTAGACGAGGAGGGGTTTAGCCGAGGAGTGGTTTTGTATTGGTCGTGGTTGACCTTCCACCCACCTCGAATCCAAAAGATGAGTGATAGATCTCCCCTAAAGCCAATCAGAAGTCCTTAGGGTGAGGCCCAGAAATGCCCTATAAATAGTACATACATTACACCTCAGTCCAGTGTCGCCCTGGTGTGGCAGGGGCCACCTGCTTTTCGGCCACTCAAGCCCCGTGCCTGGTGAGTGGAAAGCCACCAGCCTTTTATTTAGTCCCTCGCCTTTCAGCGCCTCGGGGGAGGGAAATGAGCCCCCAGGCGATTTTGTGCTGCCAGGCATCGGAGTCCAACAATAGCGGGAGTTGGGGCTACGTGACACTTCTGAGAAAAGGGATTATTTCGCCGTCTCGGTGCAAGCCCCTGTCCATCCTCACCTGGTTATTGCCGCGACCGCCCCCCCCCCAACGGGCGGCCCCCCAAAATCTCCTGAAGCTGTCTAAAGGGAGATTTCCCGGGGCTGCCTCTAATAATCCGATTCTGTGTGTCGGGGGCACCCCCGGAATATGCGCTCTGACCAGCGCCTCGGGCGGACAGAATTGGTCCTGCCCCACTTACCTCCTGGAATGAGGTGCCGTGTGAGTACGCACAGCGCTTGGAGGGCGCTGCCGGGCATTATCGAGAAGGAATCCTCTCTGGCTTCAGACCAGCCTGGTTCGAAATTTACACATCGCCCTAGGAGAGCGGCAGGGTACTGAAACTCCCCGCGCCTTCCGTCCTCGTCTGTACGAGGAGGCCCACCACACCTACACCTCCGAGCAGCGGCTTCTCTCTCTCTCTCTCTTTTTTTTAACCATAAGCCACAGCGAGAAATACATTTGAATCCTGATACAGTACACTTAACACTCCTGCGAGAATGTATAACAAAGTTTCCGCAAACAATACTAAACCTTCCTACCCGTGAGACGCTGGTATTTTCTATCCTGTTAACCTTCCTTCCTCCCTCCCTTCCTTTCTGCCTGCCTTCCTTTTCTTGATTATGACTGGCAGTTTGAAAAACGCTATCATAAAGGGTTGGAGTGATAAAATGCAGAGCCAATGCCCTGTATGTAGGAACTGATGAATAAATGTTAATATTCTCTTCCAGTCTACCCCTCCCAGCCTTAGCCTTTGGAAAAACAAAGCTCTAGAAGCTATCCCTCCTCTACTTAAGATCCTTCATTGTCTCCCGATCTATGCCTTTCTGGATAAAAAGCCCAAACTCCTTTCTAGGAGGCAAACCGTAACCTTTACACTCATTTGTGGATTTTTCCTACTCCGCCCCATTCCCTTTCTACAGATCCTACCTACCCTTTTGCCTCAAGGAAAAATTCCACATTTCTTAAACACTTCTTCTATTTCCCTTCCTACTTTAGCCTTCCTTTCTCCTGGTAAACTCCTATACATCCTTCAAGATCCTGCTTAAAGTCTGAACACCTAACTCCTGCTGAGCCATAGCAGAGGGCTTGGCTCGCTAACACTGCACTTCTGTTTTCACTTCTGACCCCTGCTGTACTGTGAGCTGCAGTGGAAGGTTTGAGGCCTGTACAAGAGGACTGGCAGGAAATGAATGCGGAGTTAAAAAATGAATATTTGCATACAATTACATCTACATGGGACTTGTTTATGTAGACCATACATTCTGTTCCCATGTCATTTTTCAAGTTAAGATTGCTTCACTGTCAGGCCAAGGACTCCACCCCGGTTCAGTGACTCAGCTGTATTAGGGTGCAGGGAGTTTTTGGGGGGGTGAGGTTGAATATCCTGCTGGGCCACTGCCAAACCTTTTGTGGGACAAAAGCGGGGGCAGCTCTGCTGCTGCTCTCACCCCAGAGGCCCCATCATGAAGGCAGCCCAAGTGGGGGGGTGCATGTGTGTGGGTGGGGGAACAGGGTGCAAAAACAGAACTTGGCAGCCCTTGTGAGTTACTTGAATTGGTCTTCTCTTTTAAAGACCGCCATTGCCTTGTTTTGTTCTTTCTTTCGAGGCTCTCTTGCTCCTTTCTTACCAGAAGCATAGCTGAGGAAGGGGGCACTTTCTTTTTTATTTATTTATTTATTTATTTATTTTTAATTTTTTTTTTTTAAAGATTTTATTTATTTATTTGAGAGAGAGAATGAGAGAGAGAGAACACATGAAAGGGGATAGGGTCAGAGGACGAAGCAGACCCCCCGCCGAGCAGGGAGCCCGATGCGGGACTCGATCCCGGGACTCCAGGATCATGACCTGAGCTGAAGGCAGTCGCTTAACCAACTGAGCCACCCAGGCGCCCAAGGGGGCACTTTCTAAAGACAGGAGCCCCTTATACTTTTGTCAGGACCGTTGGAGTCTTTGAGCCTCATTTACAACCCCCTAAAACCACCATACAACTTCTCTTCCCACAGGGCGCTGCTTTCAAGAAGGCCCCCACCCTCATGAGGGGAAGGAGGCCAGGCGGGCAGCCTCTAATGTCCACTTTCTCCCTGGCCGCACTTCAGACTCCCTGGAGAGCTATTCATAAATTCTGAAGTCTAGGTTCCATCCCAGGTGGAGAAAATCAGAATCTCCGGGGGTGGGACCCCGGCGACCCTATTAAGTAGTTAGTTCCTCAGGCAGCCAAATGTCTCAGTAGCCCAAAGATATCTGTCGACTGTGGGTGCCAAGTGAAAAACTGTGAACAGTCTCACCCTCCTCCCTCCCCCACTTCTGTCCCTCCCCTTCCTGAATTTCACCCCTGCTCCCCCTACCTGCCTTGGTCTTCAGGGAGCCAGGGCTGACAGGTGGTTCCCGCTGTGTCTCACCCGCGATGGGCCTGGGGGCAGGTTCTCTCTCTCTCTCTCTCTCTCTCTCAGTGATATTTCCCTTCTTGTTTCTAACTACTCTCAGCCTCTTGTTCTAAGCGGTTGATTTCTCTCTCTTTCTCATTTATGCCACCCCTTAAAGCCCCACGTTTATCTTGTTCACCCCTGCCCCTCTCCCCCGCCCCCCACAGCACACTGCTTGCTGTAGGGTAGGTGCACGGTGATGTTTGTTGACTGACTAAATGACTGCATCCTTTTAACACTTTTCGTGGATTCCCTTTTCTGCCAGGCCCAGCTTCCTCCACCTCCATTTCACTTCTCCTTCCCGGTCTCCCTCTTCACCTCCTTCCCTCTCGATTCTCCCCTGCTTTTCCTGCTTCCTGACACCCTCCCTGGCCTCTTTTGCATGTAGTTGCCCGCATCTCATTCATTAGTGCATCCATCCCCAAGGATGGGCAAGAGCACCAGAGGGAGGGCGGGACGCAGAACTGCAGTTTCTGCCCTTAGGAAGCTCCAGATTCCTTCTGGGGCCTTCTGTGAAAGAATGGTGCAGCGGGTGCTGGATGTCCAGAAGCTAGAGGAACGTCAGTGTCCCACCCTTGACTATCTGTTGGTCCTCACTCAGCACTACAACCCGAGCTTTATTGTTTATTTTTGAAGAGTTACAACCAATTGAGCCTTCGAAAGCCAGCTCATTCTCCCTTAAGGATCTTCCCAGTAGCCTCTGCTTCTCCCATTTCCCTCCTCTGGTTTTCCACATTCTCATTCCTTCTCTTTCCACCTACAGAGAAATCAAAGTTGCAGACTTGTCGAACCATCCCTGCCACTCCTACTTGCCCAGAGAAATGTGGGACAAACAACTAGTTTAAGTGAAGCCTCATTACTTTTTTTCTCCCCAGCCCATCTATGATTTCAGTGATCTAAGTTTCCTTAGTCTTCTATGAGCACGAAACATTGATGGAGGCTGTAAAGTGTATCTCTCTATTATACTCTGGCAGCTACCCCACCCCACACCCCAGGGGTGCGCACAGAGCCACCCCTTTCTCCACTGTCCAGGGATGCTGCTCCTGACCCATGCCCTGACTTGTCAGCTCCCTCTGTCCCTGGTTCCTCTGCCAGACCCGATGGCTGGCCGCCAACTGCCATGGAATCTTCCAGCAAGAACATTCCACCCATCCTTCTCCACAGAGTTCTTCCTTCTTACCTGGTTCTTTCTACCCCCTAGTCCCCTTGGGATGAGGTCTGTGGAGCCTCAGGAAGAAAGGGCAGGCCCTCCTTCCCCCCTCCTCCCTCCTCCCTTCCCAGGGAGCAGCCCTTTAGGGTCGAAAGCACCTGTGCCCGCGCAGCCTTCGCTTGTCGCCACTAGGGGGCGTCCAAGGCACTTCTAAAAGCAGGTGCTGGGTTTTTATTTTTATTTTTTATTTTATTTTATTTTTTAAAAGATTTTATTTACTTATTTGACAGAGAGAGAGGGAACACAAGCAGGGGAGTGGGAGAGTGAGAAGCAGGCTTCCCGCGGAGCAGGGAGCCCTATACGGGGCTCGATCCCAGGACCCTGAGATCAGGGCCCGAGCAGAAGGCAGTTGCTTAAGCGACTGAGCCACCCAGGCGCCCCGGTGCTGGGTTTTTAACCTTACTGGAAGGGAAAGGCGAGCATAGAAATTGAGTTTAGCAAGCATGCATTGAGTGCCTACTGTTTGCCAGGCCCATGCCCTGCTTCCCCTGGAAAGAGGGTATGTTCTAGCTGCTGCAAAGACTCCTTGCAGAGGGGCGCCTGGGTGGCTCAGATGGCTAAGCGTCTGCCTTCAGCTCAGGTCATGATCCCAGGGTCCTGGGATCGAGCCCCACATCGGGCTCCTGGCTCAGCAGGGAGCCTGCTTCTCCCTCTCCCTCTCCCTCTGCCTCTCTCCCTGCTCATGCTCTCTCTCTCTCTCCGTATCTCTGTGTCTCAAATGAATCAATAAAATTAAAAAAAAAAAAAAAAAGACTCCTTGCAGAGCCATTTGCCTCTTCAAGGAATCAGTTCCTACCGACCAGCTCATCTTCCCATGTCTGGTAACATTCTCCTATCTCTGCCCCAGCCTCTCGCCTGCGCTCAGCCCCTCTCCACCCCTCCTGATCCAAAGACCGCAGCTCTGTGTCTGCTTCTCCGGGTCCAGGCTTCCCATGGCAGACGGGAGACGTTCCTAGGGACAAAGTGAAGTTCCCCAGGTGGGCCCTGTCTCCCTCTCTCTTCTGGGTCCCTGACCCCCTCCTGTCAAAGCCCCATCTTGGTGGCCATCACTGGCCTCCTGAGGCTTCCCCAGACGCCCTGAGTGTGGAGGATGTGGATTCAGTGAGGCCATCGGCTGGGATGCTGGGCTCAGGAACATCACTTCTTCACCTGGAAGCGCCGACCCAGCCAGCAGAGACTCAGGAAGTGGGTGA